TTTATTCAAACCCTTCTTTGAGAAATAAACACGAAATTTAAAACGGAGAGGGAGCCGGAACGCGCCTGGTTTGTTTGCAATAACGTAAATTAGTTAAAATCGTTCTGGTAAATTTAAAGGCCAGTATCATGAGGTCGTGTCAGCCCGAGTTGAATTTCAATTTATTTTAAAACAATTATCTTTTCAAATCGATTTTTCGCAGGTCATCAACTCATAACAATTGAATTAGTGCATTATACTCGGGATTGTAAACGTTTCCGAGCGAATTTTATAGAATTGTCAATTTTAATGCGGACCTTTTCGCCATTCAAATCACTACATTTATAAGCGCGACGAGAGCTGATTTTTTTTTTATTTATAATGGAAAAATTCTTGTAATGCGGTTTTCCAAGACGTATAACCTAAAACTCCTTTCTTGTTGTGAATAAAGAACACAACTTTAATATTATGTCTCGGCGGCAGTAAAAAATTTTATGCTGTAGATTTTCTGAAATATTTATGTTAAAAAGACTTCGTGTTGGTAGTGTTACTACGAAAAATTGTTGTTACCACGCCGATCTCTATGCAAAATCATATTTGTTGTACTATAACGACATCAAAGCTGCGCGTCAATATAAAAAGAGGATCCGCCGGAAATACAATCTAAATTTTTCCTCTATGACCTTAAATATTATGTTGCATAGGGTATTTTTGGTTTTATTAGGTTATTGCCACTTTGGAGACAGTTGAAAAGTTAGGTAAAAAGACGAATCGGTTTTAAATATATTCCAGGCACGGTCTAAACTTCCTTTCTTTTGTATTAGCACTGAGTTTTTCTCGTTAAACCATAATTAAAATAAATTTACAGCGTTGAAAGTACGTGGACCACAGTAGGAAAAGTTTTGTGAGTAAACTGCAAAGCACTTTCTTTAATAATACCTACCTAAACCAAAGTTTTAAATGGTTTTTCTGAATGGTGGCGATTGCGAATGATGATAAGCCTAAGAATTAAGCAATTTGTTGAACTTCAGCTTTTTAAAATTCGCATTACGTTTTGTTTTCAATCGTTTTATACGAATGACAATGAAATTAATTTTACTGATTGAAAAGTTTTCCCTATTTTCAAATTATTCTCTACTGAACTCGCGCACTCTTTCTCTATTATCATGCAAATTGTTTGTTATCATTTAAATTGTCTTTTGTTCAAATTAAAAAAGAGGTTCAATTTGTTTTAAGTGGAGCAACTGAAATCATCTAACCCAACAGGTATTTTTATTAACGGTTGATACTGTAATCTTATCGTATAAGTAAATATTATAGATAAAATGCTTTCGTGCCTGTTCATCATTAGTATTGTCGCGGATTTTGTGTACCAAATTTGCGTCGCGCGTTTTTTAAGTGTTAAGTATCTCCAAATATGGCTGGAAAAGGTGAAGGCGCTGGAGAAGGAACACTTCTCAAATTGGAAAATCAAATAATGGTTATTAAGTACACTCTGCTATTCACTAACGTCATTTTGTGGGTATGTAATTACACTTACGTTGATGATTGATTGTTTTAATGATCTGATAACCGCCTGCGGCTATTATAACTGCAAGTGGCACGTTTCGCTTGGCACAAGAAGCATATTTTAAGTAAACATAATGGCTCATATGAACGATTTTGCGTTTGAAAGGCTACCACGATATTTTTCCTTGAAACGAAATGAATCACTGATAAGGAGCGTGACTATAGGCATTAACACTCATGTTGATTTCCTAATCGCACCCTTTCAATCCGATTTGTTAGAAAGTTACGAATTACCCTTTACCTTGTGTAACGTTTGATGCTTTAGTAATGAAAATTAAGTAGGTAAGTACTAGCGGTATCGACCTTTCGATGATATGGGTTGGGCGCCTTTGAATAATTTTCAACTTAAATCTCTTGCCGAAAATTAATTGATCACCCTAAAAGTTGGTGACAGCGCTAGAGATGACAATTTTATCTTTATTCCCGAATGGAAGCTCCTCATTAATTGCGGACCACCGCATTTTGAAACTTCTTCATACTGAGTAGAATGTGATGGATTTACGGGCATAAAAACAGTGGAAAGTTGCACGTTTCCGTACCGAATTCTCATGCAGTAACATTATTGTAGAAGTAAAGTTAACTAGGAATTACTGCAGTAGATATACGTTCCTAACCAAACATTTTTAACTGGCATGAAAGTGACAAATCCTACTGCGTGTGTCATTATCTTTTATCCCAGGATCAAAGCTGCGTTGGGGTTGCAACGTGGCGCCATAATCCTAAGGTTCATAGAAAAGTTTACTGTTATACTTTTTTTATTTATGCATAGGGTAACACACAGGAAAATCTCATAATTACATGTATCCACTAAACAAAGCATCAGAAATAAATTGAAAATATGGTAGTCAGAAAGAACATATAATATTTGATGAAGTATGAATAATGAAATGAGGTAATGACAGTAAGCTAGCACATTTGTTTAGCTAGTTTTTCTTGAAAGGGTTGGTACTAAATAGAGACATATGTATTTAATATTTTACTATTATTGATCACAAAAGTTCCTAATAGTGATTTAAATTAATAACAAATATCAATAATTTAATGTACCTTTTTTGTATACGTACGTCAAATGTGACATTTCGCTGATTGTATTCAAACAGCGAAGTATCGTTTCGTTGCTAGGGACAGAGAAGCGGAAAACAGGCAGAGAAATTTTACCGGACGCGTCAAAAAATTTGTCAAGGGGGACATCTTTTTAACCAAAAACTACTTCACTCCCTTTCACCCTCTGGGTGATGTAGTTTTTTGTTAAAAAGTTGTCCCTCTTGACAAATCTTTTGGCGTGTCACGAGGTTTTTTCCTTTAATCAGTGGTTTTCTATAAATCCGTGGCGGGAAATTTTCAAATGAACACCCTGTATTGTTTTCCTATCAGTGAAAACCAAAAGGTTCAATAAATTTCTAGCTGGAGTGTATGAGTTAAGTCCTATGGAGACCTTGTATTTTATAAATTGTATATAATATATTTCATGAACACACTGTTATTGCATGTGTCAAATAGCAATCGTAGGTCTTTCGTCTTTGTCTCTTTGTCTATGCGTATTTGCGCAACAGAGAGCTTTGTAGAAACCGTAAGAATGTGATTGTTGAGGCTTAGGTCAGAAAAAAATCTACCGCCAAGATATTTTATTGCATTCCTCTTTTTAACATTAGAAATGTTTATGTTCTCGTTGCGTTACGAGTTTCGTTCAATGCGTAGTTACGTTTGTTTTGTTAATTTCAATCCAAAATTCTCCTTTGATAATATTACGAGCATGTAACAGCGCTTATTATTAAGTAGGGTGACGTTCCCAGTGAATAATAGCTATTTGTATAACAAGGGAGGAAAGTTAAAGATTCCCTCCCGCGTGTGAAGTTTAATGCCCGCACGCGAAGCGGAGGGCAGTAATCACACAAGGGAGGGATATGTACTTTCCTCCAGAGTTATACATATGATTTTTTCTACTACCTCAACTTTAATTTAGCAAAGATTTCTACGGTAAGATGACCGCTTGCCATCTAGTTACACTAAAAAATTTAGGATGTATCCATGGTGAAGTTATGTTGCCATGGTAGCGGTATAAACAGTAGCTTGTGTACTGAGGCGCTTTCTTTCGGTGATCCAAACGCGTTTGGATTGTCAAATCACGTTCTTTCGAAGTGTGATCTTACGATCATGATTGCTAAAATCGTGAACAAACTGAACATAAAAGTTTTATGATCACGAATTCCTAACCTATAAATGCAAGGATATTTTTGCTCAAATGTTCGATTAGTCAATATTTGTAACTGAAGAGGAGCATAATTGTGCAAGTACTTCCACTTGTATTTAAATTATTTTCATAATCCAAACAAAAAATACGTAATTCGAATGCAAATGTGTACTACGTAAACTTAACCAAACTTTGATTTAAATTCGCGCGTTCTTTCGTAAAACGTGATCCTACGAATCACGATTTTGAAATCATGATTGCTAAGCAGCCGAAAGAAAGCGCCTCTGTGTTTGGGAAAACTGTACTTTGATTTTAAGAAACCGTTACTTTTTAATGAGAAAGACAAACTATTGTTTCTGGGTGTGTACAATGTTAGCATTATATCTATGGTAAATATGCATATTTTTCTTCATTAAACTTTATACATACAGTTACATATACAGTGATATTCATGTAGAAGTAGACATAGGGATTTCCTATGTCTACTTTTACATGATAAAAAGTCTTCTAAGGGACGCCTAACTTTATGCAACCAAAATAACTACCTACAACAAATGAAGATTTTCCTGTCATATTAATTAATTTGAATATTATCGCTTTGACTTCCGAATACTAATTTTCGTTCGTGTGTTGATATTGATATTTCCAATTGGTATAGTGCCGGTACCAGTTAAAAGAGCTTAAGAGATTTATTTTCTGTGAAGCCAAAGCAACAATATTCAAATTAATATGTCAGCCAGATCTTTATTTGTTTCAAGAAGTTATTTTGGTTGCATAAAATTAGGCGTCTTTCAGAAGACTTTTTCTTATTTGAAAGTAGACATGAAATCCCTGACTACTTTTTACATGAATATCACTGCATATACTTACTTAAGGTACGCTTAATCTACAGCTGGTTCAATTCGTGTAGGTACCTACCTATCTTATTTTAGGTGTTTGCATGCATTTCAAATCGTCTATAATTCTGTATAACTGGTTCTCCTAAGACTTATTATATGGCACAAAAGAGGTACAAACGACTGCGATTAAACACATCGTTTGTGCTTTAATTGCATGCGTGAAGTCAGCCTAAAGCCATTTAAAGGTTGTTTTCCGATCAATTTAGATTAAAAAGGTACCTACCTGTAATACTGTCTTAGTAAAGGTAACTAAAAGTGCCCTTATTTTTCCTTATGCTATGTATTAATGCGTTCCTATTACTTCTTGATACAGCTTAAAAATCCTGGCGATTGCCCCCATACTGTACGTTACATAGTAGCAATAACAATGCAAGTGCAAAATTTATTAAGTTCAAAATAAATTATATACACTGCCATGTGACATAAATTCTTAAAAATAAACAAAATGAATAACAAATTCGTAGTGTAACTTTTGGTTTCAAATACATCTTCCAATAGAACATTGCAAAACTTGAACTTAATACAGTCGCAACGAAATACCTTACAATAATCACGGTTTTCACAAAATACCAATATATACAAATAACGAAAATAGTTTGACTTAAGTCTTTCATCCAAAAGCATTTACCACAATAAATTTAGTCTATTGTTGTTGCTCTACGGTCTGCTCGAATCGTTGCAAACGTCGTCTTCTTATTTCTTCCTCGGCACTGAGCGGATTTGCAGATGATGTAGCGGGAATTGATGCATTTGAATTACTCGAGCTAGACGTGCCGCCTTCCGATTCTTTACTTGTATTACTAGAATCATTGGCTGCAGGTGGAACATTGTCCGTTGGCGGGTGACTCGGTATCGTTCCGGAAGTGGCGACTGCCGCACTGTACTGATTCATCATAAGTACGGCTGCGTCGAGCATCACCTGAGAAATTCAGTTTATATATTTTTTTACACTTCATTAGGGCACTCCCCCACACTAAATCAATTGTATCAACATTTAATCTGGGGTGATCAAATCTACACAAATTTAGACTTCCTTCCCCCTCCCCAGATTTCTATTTCAAATTAACATCTTAAATACCTCAAAATTCCTTTCAATTTATTTTGAAGTAGGTACATCTAATCGGAGGGGATCTGAGATCATGAGAAGATTAAGCTCATAAATACAATTGGAGGGAGGAGGGGGGATTCGATATATAAAATAATGGTACCTGAATGTTTTGTAGACAACGAATTCTCGCCTCCACATGTTCACGTTCATTCCCCTCCATTCTTCTAAGTTCTTCAGCGGATAGTGATGCAAGATTTGAAGAGGGCATCGGTGGTGGAGACATAAATGGCAAAAATGGAAACGGCATAAAAGGAGGCAAAGCAAACGGTGGTACTGGACCTTGCTGGGTCGTGCTTTGCGAGGTGGAGGTTGGCGGTGCGGTGGGTGGCGGTTGAGCGGCGGCACCTTGGTTTAAATCCTGCATTGGATTAATTAACGGTTGAAAAACGAAAGGAGGACCAGCAAACGGGTTCGGCATCGGTTGTGCTTGCGGACGCGGTTCGGCCCTTGCAGTTGCAGGATTTCGTAAAATATTCAGCCGACATGTTGGGCACGTCTGTTGTCGTTGAAACCAAGATCTTAAGCACGCAGTATGGAAAATATGATTGCACGGTAACTTTTTCGAAGACGTGGTCATTTCCTCGCGACAAATGATACATACATTGTCGGCGGCTTGCAGTTCTTCCGGTGTGGCATCCGCATACAGGGTGTTCATATTATGAATGGCGCGTCGTGACAATATTACATTATTAAATGCCTTCTTAAAGTTCCGTAATGTGTAATACATCGGTCTAAATGCAAACAACGGTAATGTATACAACTTTATCATAATTATGAGAAAAGCGATGTATAGGACTACTTTAATGAGGCCCATTACCAGTTCCGTATATAGTAAAAACACAGCCTTATTCGCCCAAGGAGCTTCGCTATTTAAATCTATCGTGTGTAAAACATATTTTAGAGCTATATTGGCAACCATAGTTAAAAGTATGGCATACTCGAAACCGAACACTAACTGTACAGATGGTCCCATCGCCATCGTAGATAGATATGCATGTTGTAGAAAATAAAAGTCCGAAGTACCTAATACGAGTAGTAAGGATAACACTCTAATGTGAAACACCCAGCTTATGACTGGACTCCTTTCCATCTACAAGAAAACGATTACTTACACACTTGTACTTGTACTCATATTTTAATAGTTGAATTCGGAGTTTAAACTGTGTACTTATTCAGCGCTTAAACTTTACTTCAAAGATTCCATAGCGCTTGTTTCATGCCTTTTCCTATTGACACAAATCTAAACCCTCTGTAGTGCTTTCTAGGTTGTTTTAAGAGCCTTCTAGGCCTTTCCTAGAGCTTTTAAATAATGATTTATTGTCACCAGCAGTTGCCAATAAGGGTCAACTTCAAAGGTATCATATAGAGCGATGCTTTTTCACATTATCACATTTCGAAACAATTAACTGAAAAAAAATAAAAAAGGTTGCTTAGCTCTACAAAGGACACAGAATTGTTCTTGAAAACCTTCTAAGGCTCCAAATAGTCTATGAGTTCATGAAAGGCTCTGGAAAAGGTCAACTAAGCCTTGAAGCACTTCTTAAATGCATTTGAGAAAGAATTCTATAACAATTTAGGGCATTTAGTACGTTTTCCAAGCTTTAAAATGACTTCTACTGGTCTCTAAACCCTTTTCAAAGCCAGGGAAAGCACCTGGGAGACTAAGGAAACCACCACAAAAGTGACAAGTCGTCTACAACATTCTCAACAGATTTAGACCTTTGTTGTACTGTATAATTTAGAAGATTACCCATCTTAAAGAGTTAGGGATGTGAACAACATAAGCACGTGCACTTTAAAGTTTAAGCTCCGAATTTGACCTTCTGAATACAATGTGGCCCTTCTGCACCTTGGTATACTTATACTCACATAATCAATTCGATCTTCGGCCAGCCAGTGGAACGATTTCAAGAAGAGTAGTATAGTAAAAAGTGCTACAAACTTTGGTGTGAAATCGTCACGAAACACGGTGAAGGCGAGACAAGTCTCTGTAATGGCATACCACGCTCTCTCCATGAGGTGCTAAAACCGATCATGATATAGTACTAACATTCCTGTTACAGGCTAAAGAAACCTCGAATTCCGCCGTTCGCAATTGTCCAAAGAAGACCTTGCGCATCAGTTTACCGGTGAGAAAAACCAGTATGAAGGCTTGAATATAAATGACCTACAAATGTAGAAATCAGCGCAAAATTGTGGTAAATGCCGAGGAAATACTTACAGCCATACTAGGATTTGATTTGGTTATGTATACAACAGAAGGATAAAATTGTTTCTTCTGGTAGTAGGCATTGGCCAGGACTACGGTCGTTAAGACCACACTCAGTACAGATATTGCCACGGACCTCATTTTTTCCAAAATTATGGAATTAGGGTGAATAAAGACACTGTTAATTTAAATATTTATTTCTTACATTTGAGTGATGTGTCAATTTGCCGTTTGTTACTCTGTACTGTCAGACCGTCAAATGTAGATGTGATGCGCATGCGCCTGTTTCTGATAAACAAAAGGTACTGTCGTGAAGTTATCGGCACTGTGCCGGCAACGTGGCAAATCAAATCCTATGATTGTCAATCAGATTTATTCCCTCCAAAAGTCAAGTAAAACTACCAATAATTAATTGTCTACAATCTACGTGCCGAATAATGTACTACGTCATCGTTGAGAGACTACTATGCTCATTCCTGTTTGGAACACACTGTATACATCTAGTAACTTAAATTTATTTCTAGGGAGTTATAAAGTTGAAAGATTGGTGGACATGGTAAAGAAATAATTTGATTTGTGAACATGGCGCAGCTGAACAATATTAGAAATTCACAAGCTCAGAGCGATTTATTTAATTATTATTTAACAATGAACATAAACAATATATGCCGAATATGTTTAGAGAAAGGTCCAAAACTTATGCCGATTTTTGATCCAATCAAACCACCCCATTTCTCTATTTTAATAATGGCCTGCGCCTCTGTTCAGGTAAACAATGGCCATTATTGTTGTTGTTTGTATCTTTTACACATTTCGGTAACTTAATTGTAGGTATTGGAAGGGGACGGATTACCGCCTTATATCTGCCAAAAATGTATCTCAAAACTGAATGTGGCGTTTCAATTTAAATCGCAATGCGAGAGTTCCGACGCGAAGCTAAGACAGTGCTTTGAGAACTTACATCACTTACCTACGGCACCGGACTTATCCAGCTTTATAGATATAAAGAAAGACATTAGTGATGGCATGCAATTTTCGGAGGAAGTTATTGCCGATAATTCGGCAATTCATAATAATGGCCAAATTTTAAATAATCTCGAACAAGTGAGCGTTGTGCAGGAGTTAGACGTACCACAAAACGCGGAACCTCAACTGCAAAATTTAGAAAATGTTCAGTTAATGTCGTCCAACTCGTTAAACGAAATCGAACGTAATGATTTAGATGGACTCAAAGTGGAATATAACGAATTGAAAAATGTTGATGTGCCAATGAAAGTTGAACAGCTGTCACTCGACATACCGCAACCAGTTTCAAATACGAAACTAAAAAACCAAACCAAGCCTCATCAGTGTGATACCTGTGGAAAAATATTCAGAACAAAACCGAGTTTAATCCATCACATTCGTATTCATACAGGTGAAAGGCCATACGTCTGCCATTTGTGTGATAAACGCTTCATTAACGGCGGACATCTACACACTCATATGCGTACACATACAGGAGAAAAGAATCACATATGCGCCGCGTGCAACAAGGCCTTTGCAACGGCCCAACAACTCACAAAGCACACCATAGCTATACACACATCAGAACGACCGTACGGCTGTACGTACTGTCCGAAACGGTTTGCTAGTTCCAGTAATTTAAATACACACACTCGAATTCATACGGGAGAGAAGAATTATCATTGCGATCAGTGTACAAAAGCCTTCTCGACGAAAGGACAGCTTTATCAACACATGCTAGTTCATACTGGGGAAAAAGCGTTCTTATGTGAATACTGTAATAAGAGGTTTTCGCAGAAGGCTCATTTAATCAGACATTTAAAAATGCATAAGAATTGATAGTGCACTGATTTATTTTATAAGTAATTACCTATTGTGTAGGTAATATTTAAAAGAGTATTATGGACCAAGATGTAAGTGTATTCGTGACGTTACCTAAAAGTAAATAAATGTGAGGTAACTAGTAATGTTGACAGTGTCTTCACGTACTGACTGTTACTCGTTACTTGGACTCGAATACAATAACTGCAAATGGTAGTCGCAGTTACAAAACTGTTGCGCATCATGCTTTGTATAGATAGCCGGTTTTATTGACTCAGTTAAATTTATCTGAAAGTTAATTTTCTTGGAAACAAATGTATTCACATAGGATGTTATTTGTCGCATAAATTTAACTGTGGGAAGAAAACTGGATCTGTGTTGGGAATGAAGGATGTTTCCCACCACGGAATTAATGAGGTGCAACATATTTGAAATTGTGTCTTATGAAGATCAATTCATAAGGAAGAGAAGCGGTGGAGTTTGTGCCACCAGTGTTTGTTCCTTATGTAACATAATTTTTCTCCAAATGTTTTAATGTTTGGAGAAAAAATTTAAAGCTTGAGATTTAAATAGAAAACTCATCACTTGTGTTAAATATCACATTTCTGTATATAAAGTTTATTTATTTATCAATTCATTAAAATAAATTTTCAAATCGTTACGTTTAATACCATTTGCTGATAACTGGCCTAATTAGGAGGCGCCGAGATTAGGATGTTGAAATACAATCATTAATTGTCTAATCGTTTTTAGCGCATTTTCCTACTCATGTTTGGAAGGCGCTATTATGGCCACTGTCTCCATCTGTCCAAGGCCTTGACTACTACGGTTTTCAAGATATTTAGTTCGTTGTGTTTGCATTTGGTAGCTTGTAGATCTGGCGCCTAAACCAAGAAAAAACTAAGGTATACTATGATAACGTGCGCATGTGCAACTTCAACTTCTTTATAAATATTTTTTTGAAATTTTAACCAAAGATTCTAGTAAAAACAAACATTGGGTGTGCGCGTGCATAATTATGCCTTAACTTATTTTCCTTTGTACACATAAATAGTCCGTTGTATGACCCTGCTGAAAGGACTGATCAATTCATGGAAACTGCTAAAGTTACACCCATGTTTTAATATCAAGAAGTACATATAAATGTCACATAAAAGCTATAAGTTTAGTCAATTCCTCGTGAATATTTTATATTTTTTTATTTCATGTAGTACATATGCAACATGGTACACTTCTGCTAGGAGACTGCTACACGGAAAATCCTTCCCTGCATGATAATTTATTTAGTACCATAGTCTCTTGAATTGTTATTTCTTTCTTATATTGTAACTACTCCTACAGTGTTCAATATTTATAATTCATTCTTTTTCATTCAGGGACTTGGACCTGAACCAGGAAAAATCTTGACAATTAATGTGTGCTTCTAGTAAAGGTACACATATCACATATTGTAAACACCAGGTATGCAATGCATGGAAAATGCGCTCAAGTTTCTCGCCTTAGGGTATATTGATGTTGGAGCTAAAATTAACGGTAAGAGCGACGACACTAAAAAAGTAAAGAAAATGATGTTATTGTTTTATATGCAGATGTTGTATCAAAGCGACGCTTGGCAGAAGAGCGGCGCTAATTGTGCTGCTTATCTTTGCTTTTATCACGTGATGTCATATGGATACCAAACATGTACCTTTGGATTTTTATAAGGTGTGCAGAGCGTTTGCGCTTTTTAGGGGACTCATTTTTGAAAGAAGTTCCTCCTTCACGGTTTATTGTCCGCCCGTCTGTTCCTCGTCTAACTCGCTCCACTATACCCTGCAGGCCTGCACATCATAGAAATTAATTTTTCGCCGATCTTGTCGCGACTCTCATCAGTTATCGCAGCTCCAACATAAACGTACCCTTAGCCCTTAGGGCGAAAGCCATTTTTATGCTAGTTTGTTCTTGTTGCTATTTATTTTAACAGTAATAAAATATCATTGAACTAGATATACTCGTAAGTGGAATGGCATCGCCCATAAACGACCCTTATTGAGAAAAACGCTAGAAAACTCCTATCCGTTGCCCTACAAAGCGTAATTTTTAATGATACCGTCTTTTCTTTTTGAATTTTTAAAAAGCGGCCTTGTGTAAGCCTTTTATTCTATGATTCAGGACCAACTCCAGAGAAGTAGTAACAAACGGAAAATCCCTAATGTCACTTGTCAGTCATGAAGTTACACGAATGTTGACGTTAGTATCCTTGAATATTTTTAAGCAACAAAAGTGAATTACTTTTTATTTAAATTAAGTTATTTTGTCGGTGACTCAAAGTGATTTAAGTTCCTATTTTTCTAAGCGAAACGAAAAGGTAGGCCATTGTTTAGCTCTATTTAATTAACTATAAAATTGAGATACAGGTTCGGTTAAGGAATTCCCAAACTTTAGGCCTTATGACCAGTGTGCAAAAGGTGATATTTTCATTTGATGACACATTCCCTAATCGGGAGTTCGTGGTTCATAAGTTGATAACACATCTCGCTTACAGATGACTGCTGTAGGGGAATTGTGGGTTTCGTGGTTTAGCTGTTGCATATCACAACCTCAGAAGAGGCATCGGCACAGAATCGATAGGTAATGAATTTTTAAATCGTGTCTGTGAGATAAAATGTTGAACGCAGGTCAATGATCGGGAATCCTATGAACTTTCAACATACCGCTCACATAGGCAGTCGAGATATAGAAATGCCTAACGATCAATTGACAGCGCTTCAGATGCAAATGCGAAGTAAAGGGGGTTACGAGAATTCGTATAAAGTAAGCTGTGCCTGAAGTAGTTGGAAAAATTAGTCAATTGTTTTCAGTAATCCGAATGGTGCCAATAACATATTTGTAAATTATGTGTGCGTTTTTCGGAACTTGCATGTTGGTCATGATTAATTCAAGTGCTTCCTTTTATTTTGAAAGTATGTAATCTTTATTATTACGGAATAGGTTTAATTTTTTGTTTTTCGAAAGCCAAATATTAATTTTTATCGAGATTATGTATTATGTGACTGTGTACCTCGAAAAAGGTTGTACGATTCTTTTGGTTGTGCTTTCTTTTAGTGCCAAATTACTAACCGACACTATTAAGTGTTTCTAGTTTACTGCAATAATTCTTCAAACTAGACTGAAATGTACTCCTTTAATCTGCCTTCAATGTAACCCAGAAAGACTTATTGTACAAATGTATTTTTGCACGTTAATACATTTAGCACAACTGTTAATTGTAAGAGAGACTCGTTGTCACATTCTTTTGATTGTGAAAACCTTTGTTATTATGTACTTAATAGGATAGCACATATTTACTGTTCAAAGTATGTATATTTATTACAAACACTGTATAATAGGATTAAGTTGTGAATGTTATTAGTATGTATATTAAATTATGTTGTATATACATTAATGAGACGGAAATTGCGATATTTATTGTTCAACACTCTTGGTTCAACAGAAAAATTGCATTTGCAGTTTTGCAGGACAAAGTAACTTTTTGAAACAAATAATTGGTTTATTGATTCAATTCTCACCTCTCTTAATTGAATGTAAACAAAGTGATTATGACATGGAACATCGCAGCTTATCTCCTAACAGCAGTAAAAAATTGTGCTTCGAGTTGTACCTCTGTAACTACCAGTTTTGTCTCATCCTGTCTAATGTTTCTAGTCCACTAACTGCTCTTGTCCTTGCTTGCTTTTCGCTGTCTAACATTAAAAAGTTATGCACCTAAGCATATTGTGCGTTGGGTTGGCCAAAACTGCCTACTTAAGCCAAAATGAAATTTATACCGGAACAACGCACCATAGCAATTTTTTCATTTCGGATTATTGGCTCCCCTAATTTATTTCGTATTAAAGTCTTTTTAGGTATGCATAGAATAAATGGCTATAGGCAACGACCACTATGGCACTACAGGCGACAAACAAGAGTTGTTTTTAAAATTTCTTTTGGCTTCAAGAATTTATATATTCCCGAAACCCTTCTCGAATTTTTGAGACTTCTACTTTCAGTTTTCAAATGCGTTCGGCAAAGTTCGTAGTGACGTTACAAATAAGTTCGAATTGCTCACATGACAGTTGCATACCTTTGGAGAGAAATCTTACTCACGTGTATAGTTGGTTGCCTATAAGTATCTATACCATCCATTGATACTGTTTTTGAAATAAAATGTAACTATCAAAATTAATCACAATGTCTTTGGGACCAATGCACACAGCTGAGCAATTAGCTCACTAAATTTGCGTGCAAAACTACTTTTCCAAATTTTAAATTTATAATAAATACATAAATATATAAACAATGACACACATTAAGTACAAAAAAATGACAAAAGTAAGCTTATCATTAGAATATCTCAAAGAATACTGATATGTTTAGTGCTTGGGTGAATATACCAATTTCTGCATTATTTGTGCAGCTTTGAATGTCGTCTCAAATGGGCAATTTGTGAAAAACGCTTATTACACAATTCACAAAGGAATGCTTTTTCGCCTGTATGAACGACCAAATGCTGCTTTAACTCTTGCTTGGTATAAAACGCCTTCCCGCAATGTTCGCAGGTGAAATTCTTTTCGCCCGTGTGATGTTTCAAATGCGAGTATAGATTACTGGAACTACCGAAGCATTTACCGCACATTTTACACACGAAAGGTCGATCGCCGTTGTGCACCTGAAAGCAGATTTACAATCGTGGAAAATGAAATCTTACTATCAACCATTGTGTGTTTATGTAATTCTTGACGTGTCGAAAATGCTTTCGGACACAAAGTGCACGAATGTGGACGTTCTCCTGTGTGAGTTCTCATGTGAGTGGTCAAATGGCCCGAATTTACAAAACGTTTCTCACACAAATGGCAATGGTATGGCTTTTCACCTGTATGAATTCGTATGTGCTGTGTCAAATATTCTCGTCTGTTAAATGTCTTCCCGCAGGTATCACACTGATGTATTTTTAAGTCCTTCCTTTCTGTCTTTTGACGTTTAATTTTCTTCGTTTTCACCTTTTTACACTCCTGTTCTCTCTTAAGCGGTGGTGGGGTGGCAAGCTACAACTAAAGTTATAATTGGTGTACAATTTGTACGATACGTACATTGCCTCCAGAAATAAGTTCTGATGTATTATTGTAAGAATTTGCGACATCCAATTCGGACTTTAAAACACAAACGTGCTGTTCATGCTTTAAATCAAAGCCGAACCCATCAAACACCGGCGCAATTGGCAGTTGTGAAGAGTTATTGAAATAAAACTGCCTCAATTTCGCATCCGAGTTTTCACACTGAAGCTTAAACTGCCACGCAACGTTTAACTTTGCCAAACATTTGCTGCAAATCGTGCTTGGCAAACCATCCCCCTCAATGATCTACTAAAAATTACGTGCATTGGAAGTTGGATGTATATCAATTTTTACCTGTATGGAAGCACAAGCCATAATCATTCCGGGTAGATCGCTAATTAAATTGTTTTGCTTTGGCTCAAAGAGCTGGGACATTTTCTTGTTCGGCTGAGTTTTTTCAAGGCATAGTCTACAGACGGTATTAAAGCTAAAATCACAAAATAAATTTACAAAGTTTTTATTTGAATCGTCGTTCATTGTGTTTTGCTAAAATTTTTGTTGTGATCCCCCTTAGCCCTTCCCCGGCAAATGAAAAATGTACAGGGTGTGTCAATCTTTTTGTGATGACTCTTGTACTGCGAGTTCGTGTTTACAACCAAGGTTAATAACGGGCGATCAAAAATGAGCTGCTTGCTAGTAGCCTTTGGAAGTTCAATTTAAGTACGATTTCCCATGTACCTAAACAAAAATTCCAAAGGTCACTCGACAGCAACTTATTTTTGATCGCATTGTAGAGAGAGTAGGTTGCCTCGTAACTTTCAGCCAATAAATGTTCAGTATTAAAATACGCGAATGACGTCACCCAGAATCCCATTTTGTCCAGATCATAAAATTAGCTATTAACACAACAACAACAGAACAAGTTCACAAAGTGCAAAGTGGATCGAAATAGGTACTTTACATGGATATGAGATTGTCAACCTTTAAATTAACGCACATCAATTAATTAATCGCCTAGAAATGTTAAGTAAGCAAACTTATTCTTATTTGAAGACGTATAGAAGATAATTTAAAGCATCCGATACTACGCGGTTGCTATAGATGCTGCTTTTTACGCGATCCGAGTGATGCTACACGACTTTAGTTTACCCTGAGATTCACATATCCGCGACTACAGTGCTCCCTATCCGTGACCACTCATTTTGTATGGAAAGCATAAGGCTAATACTAATCCATGTACTGTATAGTCTAAGGTCTGAGTGCATGTGTCACACTTTTGACATTGGTTACAACTCGCAGTTAAGCGCGGTTTAGACGTTACGATCTTGGCTTCGATAAATCGTAACGATCAATTGTCCAATTTATCGTTCAATAAATCGAAATATAAATTATACTCGCATTTTTTGCTTACATTGGTTGCTTACAATAGAATCTTAATCTCGATTATGATTTATCAGTAGCCATGTGTCGCTAAATATTTTTTTTGGGTGGCCAAACTTGATCGCCAATTGCCAAATGTAAAACGTGTGCGCTAGAGACAGTCCAAGTAGCCCAAATGGATACAAAAATGGTTCACGTCGGCAAAATTTGTTACAAATCGTAGCGATAAATCACTGTTATTGTTTACACGTTCCAATTTATCGCTACAATTCGCAGAAATTGAAGCCGACCGCCATCAACCATCCAATCCAATTCCAATTCCAATAAATCGCTACAATCCTCTGTTCACACGCAACGATAAATCGTAACGATTCGATCGTTACGATAAATTGTAGCGTCTAAACCGCGCTTTAAAGATCGAAACGAGCAAAATTTGGTAATGATCCCGTAAATACATAACATGGATAGTGGTAAGGTATTAATTACGAAACGCAGTGTGTATAAGCGCAAAGAGGAACCTGAGGCGCACGTTTGTGTAGGCGGCGCGCATGGCAAAACAAAGAATTGTAGTCAGACATGTTGGATTCACCTGTCTGCTGTCATCAGGTTTTTCGGAACGATTTACAAGGGATGCAGTGACAAGTGTTTATGTCTTTAATTTTTGTCGATTTATATCCGCCCTTTTTGGTGTTTCCAACTAAAGAGGGTCGTTAAAGGCAGAATTCGAAGCGTAGTTTGCGAATTCGATTTACTGTCGGGGTGTATCAAGTAGTTTTTGTGAACTCCGGCAGAGGATTCACGATAAAAGTGTAAAAAATTTTCTATTTTTAAATAGACGCGTGTGCGGCGTGAGCCATTTAATGCATATCTAGTGTTGGTATTTGGCTATTTTTGTAATTCCACACTTAAAAATAACTACTGTCCTAATCTCTCTCTACTTATAGTTTAGTATGCGGCGGAGCCATTTTCCCGAATTTATTTCAAATTAAACCGCCATTGTTTACTATCGCAATATTAAAAAGTGCACGTCGCGATTTCGTTCACTCGCCGGAGAAGGTGAGGGTGAATGAGTGCCCTTCAGCAGTAGGACATATGTCAATATTGTGCTACGCAATGAGGATCCGAAATGATCCCTAGTTTTCAATCGGATATGAATCAAAGCAAGTGATCGTCGTCGTACCGGGAGTAAGCTGGATGTTACGAAAGTGAGTGTGGCGGACACGACGTCGGCCACGGTGGCGACGGGTGGCCCAGAGTGCGGCCCTGGGGCCGCCGAAAAGGGCGCCGGCTGCTGGTGGTCCTCGCTCGCAGCAATGGGCTGTTTCGGTAATAGGGAATCCCAACAGACTGCCGGCGGAGATGATTCCAGATCGCAGAAACGCATCAGTGATCAAATTAATCGGCAGTTACAAAAGGACAAGCAGGTATATCGTGCGACTCATCGATTGCTCCTACTCGGTGCTGGTGAATCTGGTAAATCGACAATCGTTAAACAAATGCGAATTCTTCATGTCAACGGATTTAGTGAAACGGAGAGGAAGCAAAAGATAGAAGATATAAAGAAGAATGTGCGAGACGCTATTTTGGTGAGTATCGATATTCGTCGAGTAAGCCTCGTGTTTGTCTGTGTGTTCTGATGTGAAATTTGTCTGGAGCCGGCTACATTTAATTTAGGTATTGCATAACTGATAAGTACACAAATTAATTTGTCGAAAAACTTTTTGCGCTACTGAAAACAGCTTGAGACTTCAAGTTGTTGATCGTATAAGGCTCCCACTTCAGCCCGAATTCTATCGCAATTAGGCTTACTTAAAAATTGCCATTATCAGTTGAGAATTGCAATGATTAAAAAAATTAAGAAATAAATAGTTTATTTATAACTTCGTACGAGGCCATCTTACATTACTCTTGTTTGATTTAATACTTCTTAATTACTTTTAAAAATGGCCGATTTAAAGCACGAACTTTTAATAGTCGCATACAAACTATTTATTAATTTATTAATTAAGCAATTTGTATTCAAACAGTGAGACCGCATGTATCGACATACCGGGTGAAAATTTTCACCACTCGACATGGGGAGATAATACTAGACTCGCTCTTCTTTTATTGAAAAAAAAACTGTCCATTAAGTAATTTAATAAAGGTATTAATTGGCATGTCATGAAGTTTTAATTCATTAAAGGAAGATCACACGCCAAAAATTATATGGGTGATTAGGCAACCTCATATGATGTTTTTACGGGTTTTTTTGCCCTAATTGATATTCTTATTTCTGGTAGTTCACTACCACTTCTGAACTATTCTCAATATTGTCATATTTTTACAAGATTCTCTGGTTCTCCAGTTCACGAGTGTATTTTACTCCCAACATTTAAGTAGTACAGTTCGGTTGGGATATCCCCATTGCCTTTTGGTGTACATTTTACAGGAATTAGAAGGCAAATAAGGGTGCCATGTAGCGATAAGTCCGTAGCCAGCTCTCTGTCTATATTTAAGCATTTCACAATGTAAGTATGTACTTAATGTAAATTGTAGGTATGTAGTGCCTTCTGTACATAAGAGCAAACATCGAAAATTTGGAGGTACACTCTACGTGCCATAACTATCAGACCAGTAATAGGCTAATAGGGGTAACCTCGGAGATAACGTAAGTCTACCTTTTGTGAGGCTGGACAGGACTACATTTTCGTGAAATTATTATTGGATACATTTATACAACGTCCTACCTTCTCAAATTAAACAACTGAACTTAACTTATTCCAATTTAAAGTAAGCCTTAAACATAAAACAGTACTTGACTGCAAAAGCTTTTTCGAGAGCTTTTTACAGAATCAAGGAGTTTTTAACAAACGTTTTTTCTGACTTTTGGGTGAGACTGTTCTCTGTGATAAGTATTAATTGTAACCTGTGATATTGTTCGTCTTACATATTTTTTTCGGTTGACAAGTGTTAAAAACTTTGAATGTTTTATTTACACAATATCACTTCGACATACTCAATTTTATCACTAGAGGATCGAAGAACAATATCAGATATTTTATTTGAAGCAAAATTATGTGGTGGAAAAATTAAGTGTCCAAATTTACTATGTTTAATTGAGTTTTCATTACCAACAAAAGGAACAAGAAGTAAGATCATTTTCAAAGTAGATGTAGGTCATTAAATAAACCCTTTGTCAGAATACCATCTCTATGTAATAGATACAGTGACATAGATATCTTTTTTTTAAATACCAAATGCATCGCGTCTATCTTACAATCTAAATTTCTATTATAAATATAAACTAAATATATTATATTTACTAATTGTGGGTTTTTCATTGCTATTTTGTAATTTATTATTGTATTTTAATATCTATATCTTGTTATACTTATTAAAATACTATTGTTAATTGTTAATAATGTATGTATAAATTGGCTTGGCCGTCAATAAATATTATTATTATTATTATTAATATACGCTGTTATTATTATTATTATTATAAAAATCATAAAAAAATGACTAGATCACAAACTTTATGAAAATGACGAGGTTATAGACTAGAAAGCAATTTCGACAAAAAATTCAAAGGGCTGTAACTTTTGATCTAGTAGTCCAATCTTGGAACTGTTTGAATTTATGGATTCTACGGTCCAAACTCTATAAGAAAATGTTGTTTCCCGGTCGATCTCAGACAATTTTTTTTTACGGCCTCAAAAAAAGGCAGTGTATAACCTTCCTTTTTATCAAAATACGACTGCTCCAAAATTTCTCGGGAAAACACTTTTTCTCACTAATTTTGGTACGTAGAATCCAAAACGATTCAAACTTTTTCGATCAGACCTCTCAATCAAAAGTTATAGACTAATTACAAATTTCGACAAAAAGTTCAAAGGGCTGTAACTTTTGATCTAGTAGTCCAATCTTGGAACTGTTTGAAATTATGGATTCTACAGGCCAAACTCTATAAGAAAATGTTTTTTCCCGGTCGATCTCAGACAATTTTTTTTACGGCCTCAAAAAAAGGCAGTGTATAACCAACCTTTTTTCCAAAATACGACTGCTCCAAAATTTCTCGGGAAAACACTTTTTCTCACTAATTTTGGTGCGTAGAATCCAAATCGATTCGTACTTTTTCGATCAGGCCCCTCAATCAAAAGTTATGGACTAATTACAAATTTAGACAAAAAGTTCAAAGGGCTGTAACTTTTGATCTAGTAGTCCAATCTTGGAACTGTTTGAAATTATGGATTCTACAGGCCAAACTCTATAAGAAAATGTTTTTTCCCGGTCGATCTCGGACAATTTTTTAAGATTCAGATCAAAAGTTACAGTTTCGGTGAAAATGCAAAGGCTGAAATACTTTCGACTTAACACTTTTCTATTTTGGACAATTCATTTTTCCGACCCAAATTATAGGCAAGTGTATAGCCTTTGTTTTTCACCGAAAATCGACTACTCTGAAATTTTTCGGGAACACACCGTTTCCTATGAATTTAAGTCATTTTTATAAAATTTGCGATTTAGTCATTTTTTTATGATTTATACATAGGTACCTACCTTCAAAACAATAACTTATAGCAGGTACACCCTTACATTGTGAAATGCTTACGTACCTGTCCGAGTACCTGTCATAATAAGTCAGCTAAATTATTCTTCTGATATCTGCTAGGGCTGTGTGATAATTGAGGCAAATGGAACTGGACTAGTTATGAGTTATGTTGCAAATACTCTACAGTCTACAGCCTAATAATAACTAAATACTAATTAGTCGATCTCGACTTCCATGACTGCCTGGGGGATACTGGCGGTTCAGGGTGAGGCTTGTCTCGCCATTCATCAGATTCTGAAATTAGTTCATGTAAGATTTGAAGAGTAGTATTGTCCATTTCCCACATTTAAGAATGACTAGACCGTAACCACGCCACCATATTCAAAATCCAAAACTACTCCGAACGAATTCTTTCAAAAATCATTTATTTTTAATACCAAACAAGTGTGTTCTAAATTATGCCTGTTATTGTTTCAGACCATAACTGGTGCAATGTCTACATTAACACCACCCGTGGCATTGGAACATGCCGAGAACCAAGCGAGAGTAGATTACATTCAAGATTACGCATCGGGACCTGATTTTGATTATCCGCCTGAATTCTATGAGTATACGGAAGCTCTCTGGAAGGACAGGGGTGTTCAGGTACGATGGTCCGGTTCTCCCTCACCGATTCCACTACATCTCAATTGTTTCAGACTACATTCGATCGTAGCAATGAGTACCAACTCATAGACTGTGCTAAATACTTTTTAGATAGGGTTGAGACGATTAAACTGCCCGATTACACACCAACGGAACAAGATATACTGCGCTGCCGAGTACTTACGAGCGGAATTTTTGAAACTAGGTTCCAAGTTGATAAGGTCAATTTTCAGTTAGTTCACCCCATAAAATGATGCGAACCGTCCGTATTTACCATTCGTTTTTTAGTATGTTTGACGTTGGCGGTCAACGTGACGAACGACGAAAGTGGATTCAATGCTTTAATGATGTTACTGCCATTATTTTCGTAACAGCGTGCAGTTCGTACAATATGGTGTTACGTGAGGATCCCACACAAAATCGACTAAGGGAGAGTCTCGACTTATTTAAATCTATATGGAACAATCGTTGGTTACGCACAATTTCTGTTATTCTTTTTCTTAACAAGCAAGACCTGCTTTCCGAAAAAATTTTAGCGGGTAACACCCTTCGTCATTTACTCTCTTAAGGAGTGACAATCGATCCGTTTACAGGAAAAAGCAAATTAGAAGATTATTTTGGGGAATTCACTAGATACCAAACACCACTGGATGCTCCTGCCGACACTAGCGAACCTCCCGAAGTTATGCGTGCTAAGTATTTTATAAGGGATGAATTTTTGGTAAGAAATTTTATTTTTAATTAGGTAGATATTCCATTAGAGGGAGAAGTACTAAGCTGTAAACAATTTTATTGCATTTTAAAGAAGCGTAATTGCAAATAAAAAATCTCGCGTCATTATTTATTGTGTAACGAACAATTATTTCTCTAATCGTGCGTAGATAAAATTTTAAGGTTTGATAACGTGAAAGGGTCTGTGCACATCTGGTGAACACACGCTTATTATTGTCAATTAATAAAATAACCTCTTCATTGCCGTTTATTGCATTTCCACTACGGATAAAGTGATCGGAAAGCAAAGTTCGTTTGTTTCACACCTCTTGCCCTTTCCACTTAACCTCTAAACAGAATTAACATTGAAATAATGATGGTTGATTTCTTTAAAAAGTCGTAGAAATGTTACCCAATATTGTTCTCGACAGAACTCCACTTTGTTTGAGACTTTAATGAGAACCTTCCAGTCATATTTTGCCTTCGCCTTAATTATGCTGCAGTTAGCTGATTATTTGTTTTTGGCATAACTTATAATAATAATTTCTATTAGCCCTTGAACTTCGATTCGATGTGCAGTTTTTCTGTACTTTTCTTGTATTGTACAGGTTGGTCCAAATTGGATACTTTCTTATAGAAGCACCCTTTATTTTAAGAAATAGAACAATATGGACCTATGTGACAGGAGGTCAATTTTAAAGAGAAAATCACTGACATAAACAGAATTCAGCTATGTCTAATTGTTTGGCGAGTAGAGAGCGTTTCTCGAATTTAGTCTATTTCTTTAATGTATCATAACTAGATCGGATTGGAGCTCGCTCCTACCGATCACGGCGTTTTGTTATCACACGCCGTTTTTTGTGGTTTTCCGTTTGTAAATTTTTTTTTAGCTCGACCGTTGTGCGATTGTAGTTTGGGTTGTTTTTAAGTGACGTTGGACTTTTATAAAATGCGAAAAACAAAGGAAAAGAATTTTGATTGGGCTCAAAAAAGCACCAATATATTGATAGTCTTTTTTTTAGTCAAACTCGGCGTATGTGTTTATAAAAATGCTACGCATTTTAAGACTTCGCTAGCGTGAGTTGATTTCCCCCTAATTCCCCTGAAAATGGGGCATTTTTACGTTTGTGTTTGTATTTTTTCGTTGTAATATAAACCTATTGGGTTTTGGATATTGTATGCTATTTCGTTTCGTTCCATGCTATAGGTAACATACGATTCTGTTTTAACTGTATACCAATTCTTTATCATCTATTGATATAAATAAGAAAGTTTTGCGCATTTGTAGTACAACTTTCTGCATATGTATTCTGTTTATTTTTTTATTAGAGACGGCGGTTAGGTTCGGTCGAAATGTGTAGTAGATTGGAGTTAGGTTAGGTCGAGGTGATGGAAATTAGGTTAGGTCGAAATGGGCAGTTAGGTTAGGTCGAGATGTGTTATTGAGTTAAATCGAATTTTTTTACTTTGAACTTGATCTTGAACTTTGAACTTAACCTAACCTAACCATTTTACTTTGAACTTGATATTGAACTTTGAACTTAACCTAACCTAACCTAACCAAACGTAACTTAACACTAACTCAACTTAATCGTTCACGTTCACGAATGTCTTTTAATTGGTTTCCTTTTGCATTTCAAAATTTGTCCTCTCATCAGTTAGGTTAGATCGAGAGCTTTCTAAAGACACCCATGAACCACTATCTACTACGTTCCGTTTTCGAGATATCATGATTTAAGTGTTTTTGGGGCGTCAAATTACAAATCGCTATATCTCCGTTGTTTACCGTCCGATTTCGTTCAAATTAGGTATTAAGAGGTTGGAGAAATGAAGGCACCCGTTCCCACCCTTTCGGTACTTCTACCTCCATTCCGAAATTTTGACCGTCCCATCGAGACCTTTCCAAAGATACCTATAAAGCCCCATCTACGACGTACCGTTCTCGAGATATCGCGTTTTAAGTTTTTGATAAAAAATCCAAAAAACAGTTTTTGCGTAGATCGTCTATAAATGCCGCGAAACGCGTGATTCCAAAGTAGGTCGAAAGACAACAGAGATGCGTCGGGGTGGGGATGGGAAAAAATTGAAAATCCCGTTTCGAGCCCCCGACCGGGTGCAGCTACAGTTCAAATTTGGTCCAGATCGGCCGGTAAATAAGGGAGATATTAAGAGATGCCCCTTTAAAACGCATCCGTGCGCGTGGACTTAGCAAAAAAAGGCACACGCCTCCCCAGCGCCACAGGCTGACGCCCGGCGCCTACTGAAGACGCGGTCGAAATTTTTCCCGTGTTATACGTATAATTTCGGAGATCCATCGCGTACGAGTAGATACGAGTGTATTTTTAAAAATGAGTATATATATATATATACCCGTTTGTGACCAAATTTTTTTATCGACGTTTCGCGACCCGTTTGTTGTCGATGAGGGAAGAATACAATTTGGACGATTCGCGACGGCGGCGTCGCCAAAATGCGAATCTCGGTAAAGGAAAGTCGTAAGAGGGTATGAGAGGTATCGTCGGAAAGGTCTCGACGGCGAGGTTACGATAGTTTACGTTTAGTGTGGATCCTACTCCCACCTCCCTCGGTGGTCGAGGCGGATCGAAAAAAATTGTAAAAGTGGTCACCCCTAACGGCTACGGATTCCGAAAGTACCGAGCCCGTAGGTCGAATAACTTTTCCTCCGGGTCCGCAAAGGTGTTTTTCGGGTTTTTTTCACGTCTTACGGCAGCCCCCCCGCGGGGGGGCGAAAAAAAATTCTACCCTACACGGTTCAACGCGCCCGTCCTCCGAAGGGTGTTTTATGGGGAAAAATGGGAAAATTCTTTCTTTTTTGCGGGTAAAAAAGTTGCCTTATTTGCTTATTGTATTATGAACTTTCTTATTATAGTAATAATTTTTATTTTTTATTTTTTTTATTTTATTTTTCCAGAACGTGATATATTTACAACATTACAAAATTTAAACAGAAACAATTTTTTTACCGTGGTGGTTTTTCTAACGGAGGCTATGAAGTTGAGATCATTTCTGTTGAATGAGTGACATAATAACAATAATTACAAAAACAAATAAATTAAGAAAATGACAGTCATTTACTTTCTTTCGTATGGGTACAGCCGAAGAATAGATATTGATTTTGCTATACTTTTTGTTTTTTATCTCGTGCTTTTCTTTTAAATTCGAATGTTATGTTAGATGGTTTTCTTTCTTTTTCTTTTTCTTGCTAGTGAAGATTAATTTAATTTGTTCATGATATACATGTCAAGGGAACAATAAAGATTATTATTATTATTATTATTAACTTTCTTATTATCAACGCTAATTGATTTTGGCAAAATATTTCTTAAGGCACTTTTGTATGTAGAAGCCATTGTTATTCACAGTTTGTATACATATTTTTTCACATGGACCACCCTATTTTTGAGTTTTTGAAAAGAGCGTAAAGACGTTGTTTCTTTAGAAACATTGTGATATATTCCAAGGAATCCTCTTTCTGGAAGGTGGTCGCTTGGTATTGGAAATCGTACAAAATCTTCCTCCCTACATAAAAATAATCATTTTTTTCCTTAGAAATTTTGGTTAAAAATATTGAAATTTGTTTGTTTTTAGCGTATCAGCACGGCCTCTGGAGAAGGTAAACATTACTGCTACCCACACTTTACTTGTGCTGTGGATACGGAAAACATCAAAAGAGTATTCAACGATTGCCGAGATATAATTCAACGAATGCATCTTCGGCAATACGAACTCTTATAACCGCCCACTTCATCTAGTAGCCGCTTTGTCTCCAACGCTTTTTTACTAACACGTTGGCTTTATTTACTGATTATTTCTCTACAGACGGTAACAGTTGGTTATACAAAGCATTTCTGTGTTATGTGTATTTGATAAATTCTCTTATTTATAGATTTAATTCGTAGTGTGATACATTCATTAGTTGGACGCGCTCCTCATTTATCAAATACACAAATTCCTTCATAAGATTTTTTTGTTATGTAAATTTAGGTGAAGCAGTACACAAAACGCGCCCATTCTAGTGAGGACTCCTTCGATTTTATTTGGTAATCGTCTTAGGACGTTACAAGCATTTTAATTATTAAATTTTACTCGATTTCTTGATCCGAATATTTTTAATTTTACTATTGTAATATTGATGGTTACGTGGCCACGTTGTAAAGGTTAGTGCAATATCTTTTTGACAAATCTCTTATTTATGCACAAAGCTTCCTCTTTTTTTTAGAATTATTGTAAGCAATGGAGACTTTATTCTTACAATCATACATAGAAGCACAATTGAAGAGTGTACATCTAGCCGAGTGTAACGGTCAAGTTCATAAAGTAAGGTTTAGCTAAGTTGGAAGCCTCTTTGGTGCTCTGAAGTTTGTGAACATTTTTATTTGTACAAATTTCTAAAAAATTGCTTTCTTCGGCTAATAAATCTTTTCGCCTTGTTTTATGAACTTTGTGAAACGGAATCGTCACTCCAAAAATCGTCATGCTTTTATTAGTTTAGTAGAAACTGATTATTAATAATTAATATATATGTGCCGCTAGTCTAAACATATGGAAAAGCGCTACTCTTTTACCATCGGTTGCGTTTTTCCGTTATCAAAGTTTACTGAATGTTATATTTGTTAATAAATTATACATACATATTTATAACTGTAAATTTGACAGGTTGTGTTTTATCGGTGTATTTACGGTAGAGATGCCCCCCTTTGTGTGTTTGTTTTTGTATAAATTCTCCCGGCTTCGATCTTACGTTAATCATGTAGTACATAACGCCATGCCATCGTTTATTTCACTTCAATTGTCATCTTACAGCTCTCGTCACTTTTGTACTGAAAATGTTGTTGTTTCTTATTAAGTACTATTAGTGTTTATAGCGCGATATACCGATGACATACAAGCCTACTGTCAAGTCCTAACATCAATGAGAGACATTTAAGAAATGTTTCTGCGTTAGGTAATTTGCACAAGAAGCAAAGCAATTCTCTATAGATACAGACTATGTGAGGAGTGCCAGTATGCGTGAAACTAATCTTTGTGAGCTGATCTAAGCAGTATTTTGTTTTACTTGTTTATTGTTTTGCCAATATTGTATATGTGAATATAATGTGGGATTCATCGCACGTGCGGCTTTATAAAAGCTGCCTGAAATGAATCTCGTATCTATAAATATATAAATAAAATGAATATGAAATTATATTAAGAAATGTAACTGTAATAAATATGTCTTATTTAATGATTTATGAGCATTTTATAGTTGTGACGAAGAGGTACTTGAGGTACACTTAAGCACCATGGTGAGGGAGGACATGCTGGACAGGATTCTGGCATCGTGGGTTTTCTTAGTTATATGGGTGATACAAAGAACGTTGAGGGGCATTTAACAGTTCAGAATGCGTATCCCCAGAAATTAAAATTTTTCACAACGATGGGGTACAAATAGTGATGTGGATTGTAAAATAACGATTTGTAAGTTACATAAAAAACGGTTATATTACGCGTAACTTACAAGAGGCCGGTTTTTTTATGTAATTTATGTCTTTTATGTAACTTACGTTACGTTTTTAATTTAAAAAACCGTAATTTGTGTAAGTTACATAAATGTAATACCTACTTGATACATTTTGATTGGTACTACCACAGACCATCAACGGTACTACCAACGTAAACGATTCACCGTTGAATTTAGTTTGGTTTAATGAAGATTGATACAGCCTCTAATTCGCGATCTGGTACTTCTTCCTCCAAACGACGCGTGATGGCGAAATACCTACTGCTTGGGTATTTTATTTAATACACAAAAATATATAATTTAACAAGTGTTTTTATTTTCAGACACTCACAAAATTCAAAAAGGTTATTACGCACTTTAAAAAAACGTGTAATTTAAAATCACTAGATTCTAGTCTATAACTTTTGATTGAGAAGTCTGATCGAAAAAGTACGAATTGATTTGGATTCTACGCACCCAAATTAATAAGAAAAAGTGTTTTCCCGAGAAATTTTGGTGTAGTCAATTTTTTGTAAAAAAGGAATATACACTGCTGTTTCTTGAGTCCCGAAAAACAAATTGTGTCAGATCGACCCGGAAAAAAATTTTCTTATAGAATGTGGCCTGTAGAATCCATAATTTCAAACAGTTCCAAGATTGGGCTACTGTTACAGCCCTTTGAATTTTTTTTCGAAATTGGTTTCTAGTCTATAACTTTTGATTGAGAAGTCTGATCGAAAAAGTACGAATTGATTTGGGTTCTACGCACCCAAATTAATAAGAAAAAGTGTTTTCCCGAGAAATTTTGGTGTAGTCGATTTTTGGTAAAAAGGAAGGTTATACACTACTTTTTTTTGAGCCTCGAACAAAAAATTCTCAGATCGACCCGGAAAAAAAATTTTCTTATAGAATGTGGCCTGTAGAATACATAATATTAAACAGTTCCAAGATTGGGCTACTAGTTCAAAAGTTACAGCCCTTTGAATTTTTTTTCGAAATTGGTTTCTAGTGTATATCTTTTGATTGAGAAGTCTGATCGAAAAAGTACAAATTGATTTGGATTCTACGCACCCAAATTAATAAGAAAAAGTGTTTTCCCGAGAAATTTTAGTGTAGTCGATTTTTGGTAAAAAAGGAAGGTGGGCTACTAGTTCAAAATTTACAGCCCTTTGAATTTTTTTTCGAAATTGGTTTCTAGTACAAAATCTCTGCCGAGATTACTAAAATAGATGCCCTAAGTGATAAAGCTGGCTCTGGGTTGAACAGTGGTTGTTTTGAGCTTTTCCGTGACGTCCATACAATCTCAAGGGAATTGCTGTATTATTAGGCCTTGAGATTGTTACACTTTTGTGTCATCATTGAGAACTGCATTATCTACACAAATAAATACATTACAAAATTTGCCTACCTAGTGAGTGGCTATATTTCAGTTCAGTAATTTGTAAAAATACATGTCAATGTTACTTGACTCCAGGAATGTCAGTTGAAAAAGGTTCCTTCAAAGCTTAATCTTGCACATGAAGGCCAACACAATCTGCTTATGAGAGTGGTACGCACGCCCTTTTGCATGCTGCTGCTTAGGTGCAAATGATTCAACAGTGCTATGGTAGCCAAGATGGATGTTGCTGTAAGCGACCCTGTATTACGTACACCTAATTTAAATTCTTGTGCTGTACAATTTAAATAAGAATGAACTATTGAAACATTTCCCTTGAGCACAGAAAAAGATCTTAGTAGCCAGACATTTACTTCAATTTTGAAATTTCTTACCGTATTGAGTATCTAGAAGAATAAGATTCTTTTAGATTTTGGCCTGTAGAATCTAAATTGCACATGTGGATCAACAGTTATGGCGCTTTCTGTTCTTTTTACCACCCGCACATTAGTAAGGGAGGTATTGCATTAGTGTAAAAAATGAGCAGCCACTTTTTTATGGAAATCACATTGGGTTCATCAACCACTATGGATGTGAAACAATAGAGGATGCCTATTATAAGTCCTGTATATTATTTTCTCTGTTCGTGAATGGTATAGAACAGCGTTTCTTAAGCTTTTTCAGTCCGCGGACCCCTAGATCAAACACAAATTCAAGAACCCACTCAATTAAAAAAAATGAATAAATTTCGGACAATTTGATTTAATACTGACAATTCAACTCATGTATAAAAAATCACATAAGCCGCAGTGTAATTGTCACTTTGACAGCGGCAAAAGTTACCTGCAACTTTTCCAGCGACAAATGCACTAGTGGTTTTTTCACTTATTCATTTTCGAACCAATAATCGCATTATCCTTACCCATATGACTAGTTTGGCGTCTGTCAATAATTGATTAGTTTGGTGAATTTCTTGTTCGTTAAATTGTCCTGCCGAATTACACTCGAGGTTTGTATTTAAACCGAGTAAATTTGGGTTGTGGCAATTCAAATCTGTTTCCTTTTAGCAATTGAACTCGAAAAACTGTCAACCTAAAAATGCTCCACCTGCGGTGTCGCATTTTTATAAGTTGACAGTTTTTCTCGTCTAATTGCTAGGCAACAGATTTTCATTACCTAAACAACCCAAATTTACTCGGTAAAATACAAACCTCTTGTGCAATTATAAGTGAAAAAAAGTACATTTTTATAAACATTAAAAATACTATATCAATGTGTTGGTGCTGCTTTTTTGAAAATGTCCATAGATACGACGGCGGACCCCCAGGGGTCCGCAGACCACCGATTAAGAAACACTGATATAGAAGATTATCGGAAAGGAGGTATTAAAATAAAACGCCACAGTTATTAAACTGTTGGCGTACGCGGACGATTTGGTTCTTTTGGCTACAGATCCACAGAGCTTGCAGAAAAGGATAAATGAATTTGAGATGTATTGTGATATCATGGAATCTAAAAGTAAACCTGGCGAAATCAAAAATTGTAGTATTTAGTAACGGCGGACGGAGAAGCACAGGGGAGAGATGGCTCTATAAAAACGAAGAGATAGACGTTGTTAATAAATATAAGTCCATCTAACAGAAAAAATGGAATGTGCTAAGTTAAATATATTCAATGCAGCATGTCGTTCGATTATCTGTTATGCGGCAGAGGTGTGGGGCTTCTTACGCTACGACTTAGTAAAGATGCCATGTAAATTCTTTTTTAAAGTGTTTTAATCTACCAGAGATATCCCCGAATTACCTTATATACTTGGAAACTGATCTTTACCCAACCTATTGATACACACTGGGGAGGTAGAAACAAATACCATATTAAATGCAGCTAAAGTTGATATCAGGGAACAATACAGGGTGAAAGCAGTTAACAGTACACGCAAAGAGTAATGGGTACTCTTTGGCACAAGGCATCCACTATATAAAGACCAAACCAGACCAAATAAATAAAATTGTATATTATTGTTTGATGGTAATTATATTAGCTGGTTATTGAAAGTTAGGGGGGGAATTACTATAAGTTATGCTCATTATACAATGGCTATCAAGATGAAGTCATGTTGTAAGTCAAAAGAATTTCGTAAGTCATTTTTTGGCAAACTTTAAAGTCTTTGTCTATACAGGACGTTTCTAGCAAAATTATCACTCTGTAACTCTGGAATGTTTGGAATTTACATTAAAGTTCAAAAATAGTCAAAGGTCAGGGCCGTAGATTAGGGGGGGGGGGGGTTAGGGGGTTCAAACCCCCTCCATTGAGAAATAAGAAAATAAAAAAATATTAACTTTAGCATATTTTAACATTACTATGCTTGCTAACAAAACTAAAACAAAAGAAAAACACATCTCGGTATCCTGGCGCCCGCCGGTCAGCTGCTTTGCTGGTGCAGATGAAATGAGATGATTCAGTTGTTTTTAGTCTACACTTTTGTTTTCAGTTTTCTTAACGACATGCAACAGATTGTCCATTCGGCGTTCGTTGTCGGTTATCATAATAAAATAAAACAAAGAAGTAGGTAATAACTAGTAATTAATTTATTAGATAGTGTACGTACCTATATACCTACTCTTTGAGTGTGTTTAAGACGTTTAAGTTTAGTGTTGTTAGTGCCTTAAGGGAAAGATTATTTAAGTAAGCAATATAATAGATATAGATAGATCGGCAGCAAAAAAAAATAAATCGGAATCAGATGTATCACCGTAATAAATTGTTCAAAATTTTTCAGCTTTCTCTGAGGTGGATTTTGAGGCTACGCCCCCTTTTCTCAAAAAATTTTCGCCTGCGGCTCATTGGCAAAACTCGGCGCCAGGGAAAATAAAAGATACATAAACCCCCTCCATGGACAATACCTATCTACGGCCCTGTCAAAGGTACATTCTTCAAGGTCGCGTTTTTAAAAAAAAAACACCGTACCTATTCCTGGTTCAGAGTAAACGGGCGTTAAGAGCTTTCCACAAAATTTATAGGCACTTTTTATTTCACCAAAAAACCTTCCAGATTGCTTCATAAAAAATTATGGACACAAAACCAGTCCAGTTTCCATTATTTATCAATCGAATTTTGAATACAGATCTTTCTCTGTTCCGCCTGTGCTTTTTACAAGACGAAATTGCTAGAACAAAATAAATCACATAACACAATTTTAACATATTTTTTATTAAATACATAAAATTTCTTCTTACAGAATTGGAAATGGTTTATGCTATATGACACTCCTAGTAGAGAAACAGAAATATTTATGAAAATAATGATAAATAAACGGCAAAAGGAAACTAATTAGAACAAGTACATTTTAAAATATATTCAGAACTAGAAATTTATGTACTAAGTTGAGACCATGATCTTCGACGCTCGGTAGCGATTGGAGAAGTAAGGAGAATACTATTCCATGCCAGAATTATGTATACAGCTGCTTTTTTTTTGTTACTACCTGTACCAAATCTCCGACTAGTCTTTATTGTGAGAAAATTTGATTAAGTGAATGTTTTTACATTGTATTTTAAATACTTGTACGCAAATTAATCTTGTAGATAATAAGCATAAAACACCATTACCATGCAACTCTTAGATCTCGCCGTGAAGTCGTTATTAAAGACACAGAAACTAGAAAGTGTCAAAGAAGTGAAAAATCTGCCCTTAAACATTAGGTGTAGCTTGATGTGATCTGTACAATCATCATATCACACACTCCCTAAGAAATTGAGTAATTTTGAAAGGAGAGCAGACAAGAGGACAACCCAATTCCATCGATTAAAATCTTTTACTTACAGAAATATAAAAACAAAGAAATTAAAATAAACTATGACCTGAGAAAACGATTCAATTAGAATCGGATTCGGATGAAACAGCCATTAAACGAAGGGAGCCCTTCGAATTGTCTTTACCTTCTTTCTTAACAATAACGCTTTGTAAGCGACGGCTATTGCTAAAAATCGGATTGTAGTAACTGTCGTGTACAGAGAAATCTGTACCGCTATGCAGAGGTGAAGTGCCGACCGCCACATTCACTCGAGATGGGACATTCTCCTGAGGGCAAAATTTCCTGTCAGAACGATTGCAATTCGGATAGTTCTCGTAGTTGTAATCGTAAAATAAATTATTGTACATAGAACCTACGTCTTCGTTAGAGGGGAGAGGTGGAGTGTAACTCTCCAACTTTCTCGGTGCAGAGGAGTAATGGGCGCCTTCGTAGTAGCGACTACCGACCGAAGGGGTTGTCGACGAACCGACCAATGGGTAATTAGAGAATGGTTCGTACCGATTCCCATCGTCGAGTTGTCGATAGGTGGAGAGAATGGAATTGTCTTCCTTTTTATTTACATTGGTAATAGGCTTAGAAGAATTCGAGTCGGAAGAAACCTGACACGGTGCCGTATTAAAGGTGGCTTGCGGTTTCCAACGTGAACAAGACGGTTTGGATTCATCGACGACGGTTTCATACGACTTAGAACTGCTCACTGTGTAACTTTGTGACGGTTCGATGGTGGGCTTCTTAGATTTTTGTTTGACCAGTTCCTGGTGTTTTATTTGGGATAAGGGAATGCTATCGTCCGAATCGAATCCAGTGGATGGTTTCTCGAGTACGGTTGGAGAATCGCTATCAGAACTGCTGCTTATCATATTAAACTTCCGTTTTAGGCGCACCTTACTGTCCTTGTGGTTCCTGAAAATTCAGTAAAAAATGAAGTATGAAAATTAATAAACTCGTTTCGTGAATGATTAAGTATTTCCAGAGAGAGTGTACTAAACATAAACAAAGGTGGTTTATTTATTTCAAAAAACCCTGCTGTTAGTAAAAAAAAAAAGAAACTTTGTTGCTGTTGTTAATAAGATACCTACAGAGGACGTTACTGTCACTGTTACAATTAACAAGCTAATTTTGTGTATTGTTAATGATGATTTTTCTTAATTTCTGCGTTAAGTGTAATTTGTAATTGTAATTGTGCTAATTCTTGCATTGTGAATAAAGTTTATCAATAATAATAATAATATTGATGCTGGAGCGCATGCGCCTTTGATATATCGCCTACATCTTGAATTTTGTTTTGATATCAATTCTAAATTAGGTGTATCAAAGACAGTAACTTTTATATAAAACTTTTTTTATATCTCTTGTACTTTCGATGATATAAGACATTAAAGCAAATGACCAATTTTAGTTTTTTTGAATATACGTCAAACCTATTCGACATTTTGAATTTCCACAAGGAAATTTTAAATAAGCATCTAAAACTGCAAAACATTGTCCATTTAACCAATTCTCTATCTTTAATAAAAAGAAAGTTACCCATGCAATGCCACCCGATCTGGGACACACTGTATACTTTATTGGAAAACCTTATATGTTTGTATAGGAAGATCCATTCACTTAGCTACCCATTAGCCCAAAAATTAAAACAAATTTTTTTGTATCTACAATCTACTTTGCCTTTTTGGGTGCTCCCAACAAAGTCTCGAATGAGGTTTGTTTTTAAAACCAAGATTAGGGTAAATAAATCTATGGTGATGATGCAGCCTGTAAATGAAATTGCGTCCCTATGTCTTGCTGCTGTTAGTTGTTTAATTCGTTATTTAATTAAGAAAAAAGTCAAGAACGTATATGACTACTAATGAAAAGAGGAAAAAGTACACTATCACTTTTAAATCAAGAATTAAAACTTAAAGATCCAGAAAGATCAATGTGAATTCTTTTTGCTGAATAATTTCTTGAACTTACCTTGCCTTCTTTTTATACTTCTGTTTCTTTCTGGACCGTTTATTAGCAGAGTCATTACTAAAGGAGGTAGTAGAATCGCTGGAATCTTCGCTACTGCTACTCGATGAAGCGTTTGACGAACAGCATCTTTGGCAACATTTCTTTTTAATCTTTGATCGCCTCTCTTTTGATTGTCGCTTTCGCTTAAATCGTACCTTAAGAGGTAGAACTGGTTTGCGATAAGCTTCACTACTGCTGCTTAAATCGCTACTCACACTCGTTGGGGGATCGAGCGTCCTAACATCCTCGTTCGTATCAGAATCGAGCAGAATCACTTCGGGCGCCGGCGGTTCCCCGATAATTACGTCGGAATCGTGACTGCTGTCAGAGTTGATCTCAATAACTTCAATGGTCGGCCTTCGGAATGGATTGTTGTTGACTGTAATCGGTTCCGGTACGTTCACTATAGCTACATCACTATCATCCTCTTGGTCCGAGATTGAGTATGTGGGCGAAGTCGGTCGGTTTGAGTAAACAATGTGGCGATCGTATCCGATCATGTCAAATGGTGATCGCATGAAATTGTAAAACTCGTGGATAAAATGGTCGGTTTTGTTGGTTAGGTAGGTTTCCAACAGGCGCTTGAACGCTCTGCTTCTGATGTGCCATCGCGGTAAATGGTCCATTATTACGTCCACTAAGTGCATCACCTGCTGTGTGTTTTCACGAAGTAAGGCGTTTAATTCTCTATTCAACCATGGAACAAGTCGATTTCTGGAGGCAGGATTGTCGCTGAAAGAAGAAATCATACAAATAGTCGCCTTGTCGTGAAACTTGCAATTTCATAGCAACTGACGATATTTATTTACATGCAATCGTCCTCCTAGGACATATAGGGTGGTTCAAATTCATGGGTACCATTGGGACCTCTGTAACTGTGAGGGATACAGGGGTTCAGTGGAAGACCATGAAAATTTTTTTTTTCGTGAATTTCGCCCTTTGGTATAACAATGTAACATGTGATTTTTTAATTTGTCAGTTTTTATAATTTGGTGGGTGTTTGTAGGGGCCCTTAATTTCATGTGTTAGGTAAATAGATAATAAACGTGTCACAGTCAAATAAAACCGGGACGTATTCTATCTTTGGTTGAGTGGCACAGTTTCATTTGGGATATAATCTCATACAATACAAGACAACTATATATTTCACATTGTGCCTCGAAACAGTTCCGTGGCATTTTAAATTTTTATTATTATAATTAATTATAATTAAATACAAACCTAAAAAATTGAGGGGTAGCTTCTCTGTAACGTCCTGTAACATCCGGTGGAGCATACACCCACATATTGGTCATGTACACGGACCTTCGGAAGCTGGTAGCAGAACTCGCCCGGCGAGCATGTCGCAACCTGCCAAACCGACTGAAATTTCTCGCCAATTAAATGACCACATTTCTATCGCAATTAATTACCTTGTGTGTCTTGGCAAAATGTAATTGTCGGGAAAGTTATACATGCTGTTCGTGAGCGGATGAGAGAGTAACATTTGCTGAATGGCAAGTTCGCCTCCTTGGTCAACGGTAAAGGTGGTCCTGCAGTTTGCGTTTACGTTAACATATCAATTATTGTGGTCATTTACCTGAACTGAAAGTGGCGAGAGGGTGAACGGGGCAAGAAGTAATTTTCGATGTTGTGGAACCCCCTGCCTCCTTGAAACGGGTCGTTGACAATAACATGTTCATCGTATTCGTCGTTGGATTTAATATTATAAATTATGGACTTAAACGGTTGTTTACATAACGGACACTCAGCTTTGACCTAAAAGCGCACAGTTAGAAATGCACCATTTTGCTAGCGCTCGTACCTTCGACCACTCTAGTAGGCAGGTGAAACAGAACTGATGTCGACAGGAGTCCGAGAAGCACTTATTGTTGCAGGTACCGAGACAAATTGCGCACTTTGGCGGTGGACTTCCGGCCGATTGTCGCGGCGGAGGCGAAGGAGACGATAATTCGTTCATTTTAAGAAAGTTGCCCCTACAAAAATGAACATAAAGCTTGCCAATGGAGACACTTTTAAACAATTACCAAATAATGGAGCACTATTGATTACAACTAAATATTTTTCGTCACTTTTTTGTTGCTCAAATTATCAAAACACAGCGCACAAACTAAACTGGTTGTTAAGTTCCAGGCTGATGAATAGACGTAAATGACAAGCGGCCATTTTGATATTTAAAAAACTTTCAAGTTTTAAACAGTGGTACCAATTCCTTCCCTCCCCCATACAATATATATACAGGGTCGCCCATATGTACAGGAACCATAGAATACCATGTATCAAAACTTCGACCTTGATATTACTTTTCTCGTGTGTCCTAGTAAACGAACAAAGTATCTTTCCTCATTTTTACCTAATACTTCCCATATATTGCGTAAATACTACTCACTTATTTTCCCCAACTTCCCTTTTGCTTGCATCGTTACTACCCAACACATAGGTACACTTCTCGACGTTTCACAATATCTCTCAATATTTTTTTCCAATATCTCATTTACTAGGCATTGAATTATATGGAGATTATTCTGTACCAAAGGCGAATTTTCGTAAGTGAAGTGGGGGTGTCTTCGGAAACCTTAAATTTTCCTTTTCCTATCACGCCTTGGGTCCCAATATGCAAGATTCAAATGTTCAAAAACCCAAAAAAAAAGGATTTTCCGGAAGTGAAATTCTGGTTTGGTCTGGTCCTTTTAACTGTACGAGTATATCTACCGTTCTCCGGAATTCTATACGAGCAGCTGTTTCCATTACATGAATAATCCAGACTCTGAGATCCAACAGCCTTTATTACTAATTCTTGATGAAAGAATAATTTCAAGCACAATGCTCACATTAGGAGAGACCAAAACCTAAAATTTGTCATCTGGTTTCAGGATGAGCATACACGAAAATGTAGGTAAATCAGACTACCTTCCGTTATCGACTGCCAAGAAAAAAATTGAAGTCAAAATTAGTACATTTCAGGATGTACCTTTTGTGGTGTTTGCTAGCCTAAATTTAATGCACCAATTTTTGAAACAAAATGCAAGTTAGCAGGTTCACAATAATATATTATTTGTCAATGAATACCGTCGACTACAATTTTCACCACAGACTGAACAAACGTTCTATTTTGTCAATGTTCTTATATGCCCCAGTCCCCCCTATATATCATAATCGAAACACCAATCACATGCACGTATACCATTGACAAAAAGAGTACCTACCTTTCACTAGTCCTCATATTCATTACTCCATGTTACCATACTTGTTACCTAAAATAGAACATGAGATTCCTTATTCCCCCAACATTTTGAGAGGTAAAATGGTCAATTCCTCAGGGTTGGTAAATTCCCAATTGAGAAAGTAACAACAAAAACAAAACTTTAGGCTGCTAAATGCTGCAGAAACAGATTTAATCTTTTAGAAAAAATTTATTAGCAAGTGACGTTCTTCGAGCAAAATATGTATTTACAGCTTTTGTTTGTTGTACTTGTTACGGGATCGTTTTTATTCTTCAATTTTTGAATCAATATCAAATAATATAATATCAAATTAACATCAAGAGACATAAAAAGCTTCCATAATCGATAAAAATCATCCTTAGTGTGATATTACTACAAAATGTAAAGCACAAACACACACACTCATACAAAACACATTGCTTTTAAAGCGTTTCAGAGTAATAATAACACAAATTTGGGAGAAAGAAATACAATTTCGTCGTTCACTTCATTCAAATCTATCAAATAAATTTTGAATATACATCCTACCATAAATATGTCACACTATTGAATACAACAATAACTAACACTGCATAAAAAATTTATACTTTCGTTCTCGCTCATTCTTTATGTAATGTTAATTTACCTAAAAGTGAATAATTAAATATATTATTTTATCAACTGTACAATTCATGTTGTAATTAATTTACATATAATAGCAGCTATTGAATTACTATTCATCAAGAAAAAAGCATCACAAAGACTAGTACTGTAGGTACACAACTGTGCATGTTACTGAATGTTTGAGAACCAGTTTTCGCAATATATAAAATTCACTTATAAAGTACGTAGTGATGTAGATTAGTTCAATCTAATAGAATATCCATACACTAACTTTGCACTACTCGTTTGTACATTGACTAAATAAGCCACTCTTTACTATTTAGTCAACTGCGAACTATGTACAAGGGCGCTCTTTGAATTGTTTAAAACTTAAGGGAGCGAGGTTTTAAGCCGTTGCTCCTAAGGTAACGATGTGCTTTTTCCGTTAAATCTAGCTGATCTTGAGTACCGCCACATGCTACCATTGTCCATTTCACGTCAATCTGAAAAGTAAATAAGATGTAAAAAACTGTACCTTTGCGATTTTCAATACAATCGTTTACTTGTGACCCACCTTTGTGCACCCTATGCTGGCCGCAACTAAGTGCGTGTGACCGAGAGTAGTAGGTGGGCATAGACTTACATTCGCATGCCGGCTCATTTTAATCATAATTAATGCAAAATTCAACAAATACAAACATAAAGTTAGAGGTACTTCACTAAAGCATAACAAAATGATATTTCATCGTTACTGGTACACAAAATTCGGTTGTCATTATTTAGCAATTGTTATAAATAATATTGGAAGTCCTTTTTCTCATCAGATTTTATTTCATGTGCCTTTTTGTAAGCAATAGCTTTAGATCATATAGCCACTAAATCTGTGGCAACATGTGTGAGAGATAGTCAGCAGTAGAATATCAATCATACGCACTGCGTTGTCAGTACAAAATTCACATTCCTCATATTTCAGTGGCGTGTTACACAATCTGGAAAAAGTTTACACAGACATGAAAAAAAGCTTATAGAAAGATTTACAGGGTGTTCTATTAATAAACGTTGGCCATATCTATGGAACTGTTAACTGCACCGCTTGGGGAAAAAGATTTTAACAAAAGAGGCCAAGAGAAATCGCTGGAAATTATTTTCCAAGTTTCTAGGTTTACCGCTAGAGGGCGTACGATTCATGGTTAAGTAGAAAAATGGTTTTTTGCCTAAATGATACCCCACAATAATTCATAAGAAAAAAAAACATGCATCGCAATCTCTTACGAATTTTGCATTATTTTGATGCACGACATATTGCTCTAGCTCATAAAATATGAGGGTGGAGAAGAAATCACCCTGACAGACAAGATTTAAAAACGCTGTGAACAGATAAAATGTCATAAAAGATAATCAAAGATAATGGAGAAGTCAGACGATTTTACTGTCTTACAGTAGAATATCACTTTGAATTGGAAGTTAAAAAAAACTGACAAAAAATAAAACAGGAAATGTAAAATAATAAAAAAGAAAGAAATGTTTTGTTAGAAAGCAAATAGGTTTAAATTAAAGTGCGATAAATAAAAAATAGAGATTATAAGTAACTTGTTTTACCCAACCCTTTTAAAATTGTCATGGTTTATCAATCCTTGGTAAATAAGTTTTGCAAAATTCAGATTAAAAACACATTGATAATAATTCAAATGTCAAATTTTTAAATTGTTTTTAGCATCAGTCAGTGTACCTTGTTTCGGTAAATTGAAGTTTTCAAATTCCACTGCTCAAATTTTCCCTATTGAAAGTCAGTACAACTTTGTTACACCATTATAAAGCAATTTTAGTACTTACACTCAAATACTATTCAGATCATGAGGGCTCAACTAACAGTATTTAAGGGTGTCCAAAGTACCCCAGTGATGAGTTTATAATGGGCATTATGATCAGTGAACCACTAACAATTCTGTTTTGAGAGTAAGAGAAACATTCCCAAGTTAATTGCAATGACTTTATGCAACTAAGAGGATTAACTAATGGCACATTAGATGGAAAAGAAATTTTATTTACAAAATGTTGACCAAAACCAATCTTAAAAAATAACAATGCCGAAATAACAAACGGATAAATAGCAAAACATAAATGTTAGTAAATAGCAAATAAAATAAAAAAACATAATATACCTTACAGTTTGTGCAATAGGCTAGACAGGTCTCACCTTAGGAGGTTGAGGTGAATCAGGCTCCCCGAAGGTGATACGTTTGACTGCAGCACTACGCTGACCATGGACTCGGGATTGGGCATTGTCTGGATGCAGTCGCTGCCGGGACAAGGATATAAAGCTACAATACCCAAACATACACCCACACGCTACATACCAAGCCTAGCCTATGTGTAATACAAAAGCGACAATTGCGGAACTTAAAAACGATTAAATTACGTTATTCCGAATTGTCGCCCCTTGCAGGAAAGAGCACCAGTGTGGACAACCTTAAAGCTAACCTACGAACGATATAGTTTCAAAATAAATTATTCAGGTGCAACAATAAAACTACAAATTTAAAACAGTGCGTATCTACATATAAAATAATAAAAAAAATAACAGAAATTTTTGGTAACACTGACTGTGTACGCTTTGCATTTGATAGTCAATCATTCAACAACACAAATAACAAACAATAAACATGCACTGTAAGAATATTTAAAAATTAGTTTAAGTGCTGCATGTAATCGAGTGAATTACATTTAGTGTTCGCTTGCCCTAAAAATACTAAACCTAACTAAAAAGTAGTAAGAAAAATGCGAAGAATACTTGCGATCGTAATGACATGGCACAAGCGCTTGTAACGGATGTCGGTTTTGGGAAATATCCTTTGGTTATTGATCAGTAACTTACAGTCAAGGACTAGAGGAAAGAGGAGGTACACGGGAATTTTTTTCTTTAGTGTTTTACACATGCAATTTTTAAAATAAATCGATATATACAAATGAAAATTATTTTCAAAAATATTCGCCCTTTTTCATTACAAACAACTAAATTTCTGAGAACACTAACTCAAAATTAATATACAAAATTAACATTAATTGTAAAAAAAAACACTGTACATCTTAAATTAAAAGCGTCTCTAAAAGAACTGCTAGCTTCATGTATTAATTTTACTTTATCAAGCACCCCAAACTCATTTATGGCAAACATTATTAGTAAATCACGTTAATCCCTTTACGATTAAAGTGACAGTGTTAATTAATCAAATCAAAATGTCTGATAAGTAAAACCACTTTCAGAATAAGGAAGTTAGAAAAAAGAAGAAATTCAAACATGCTTCATTAAACAAACTCAAGCATAGAAAAAGACCTAAACCAATACAAAAACCCTACGGTAAAACTTTGTACGGGATACTGAAGTAGGAGACAGGGTGGGTGTATGGATAAAAAGGAATTAAATATGATCGCCGAAATGAAACCAATCCAATACCTTGGAGGATCCTGACTGACTCATCTCCATGATTCCGGCTACACCCACCAAGGAATCTTTCATTATTGAGGAGGGAGTCGAAAATAATATATCTTCGCCCAATGACTTACTCTGGAAGTTAAACGCAAAATTACAAATATACATTTCATCAAAATAGATCAACGTTCTACAACTACTAGGAGATCTACAATTTTATTACCGGAGTTTCGATAGCAAATGAGAGATCGGAGGAGTTAATGCTGGTCGAACTCCATGAAGGTGCCAGCGCCTTACGAACTCTCTTGTTTGGTAAAATATTCTCTTTCCCTGCCGCGATTAAGGGGACGTTTTTCCTCTTCACCGTTTGATAACCACTATCGTTCTGTAACAAGACGGTCATTCAGTCAGCAAACACTACCGCCTATAAACAATTACAGACACAGTAAAGAAGAAAGTAGAAATAAAAACACAAAACAACTGAGGGAAGAGATCTACAAATAGTACGGATACACGTTTGATGAAGAACGCAAATTCATTTTCTCCACATTGTCATTTATCTTTATTATTGTTACTATTTCGCATTTTCATTCGGTACTTTATACATACCTTGGTAGAAACATTCAAGTTTTAAATTTCTGTTCCCGAACTCAGAGCAGTCAAGTGATTATTAACGTAAATTTCATACTCCCCTCCCCCGCCCACACGTTCTTGGGCAATCTAAATTCTCGCACTCAAGTGCAGATAAGCAAGTAAATACGCATGTCTACTAAGAGAAGTGGTTTTACAATGGACACATTTTCATTAAACTAGCAGTATTCGAGACGCTCCTCATGATAAAAATGTTAGAACAACTTTACCAACCACCGTGGAAAGGAAGCCCCAGTGCATAAACCCCCGCCAAATCAAAAATTAAGACACAATAAAATGGAAAATCAGGTAAACTCGCACACTCTGAAGGCTGGAAATAAAAAAATCCTACATTCTGGTACACAGAGGCTGATTAGTTGCTTATAATTTCTGTAGCAGTGAAGGGCTGAAGGTTATTACCAAAAATGTACATTTACTCTGTAACGAAAATGAAACTGGAGTACTAGATTCTACGGTATCAATATAGTTGAGAGATTTTATGACAATCCATCACATTTCAGAGAAATCAGGATTAGGTTTTTATTCTTGTAATGTTTGATGTGTGTCTCTTAACATTTTTGCCGTGAATGAGGCAGTCACGGGGGTAGTAAACAACTGTAACCGCATCAGTTAAGACACCTAACGCCGGGACTGAACTATAGGTTGGGAAATAAAGCACGAGGACCCAATGTTACCTGTTGCAGAGGTCAGAATCTGCTAGCGCAAAAACTCTCTGGTTTTGCATCTATGTACCATATTTTTTGCACCTCTTGTAGTTTCAAAAGTTGAATTTTCCCTCCAAGGTAATGTAATTTTTCCATGTTGCTTTTAAAAAGAGAGTTTAATTGCGCCTAAGAAGAGTCACCTTTTTTTTGATACCTGCTTGTACACCAACCAATTCCTTTGTCTTGCAATTTGCGTAAAACCTGTATTTGCCATCATCTTTTGTACATATGTAATTCTTACATATTATCAATCAATTGCAACAAATCATCGTATAACATTGACTATTAAAATAATTCATTAAAATCCAGAGACTAATTTTTTTTATATTTTTAGCCTTAATCTCAGAAACAAACGTAACTAGATTGATTATGTTTGTGGTAGTAAAAATTTCACCAAAAAAAAGTGGCACATCGTCGCGAAAACCGCAAGTCTATCTTTAAAAACCGCTGAAATACTCTGCAATCTCAAGGGTGGCAGTTGCACCTTTTATGGGCACTTTCGCCAGATGTAGAAGGTACGGCCTACTACTTTGCCCCCATTTAACCTACTCTCATCATTACGGAGATCCCAATTGTGAGCCACGAATTTGAAACACACTGTACATTGACTCCGTAACATTTACGAAAATGTGACTACGAACGGTTGCCTTACGTTAAGACCAGTCTATGGTATCATTACAGTTGGGAGTTTTCAATGATAACCCCCCCCCCCCAACCTCCCGAAAGCAAATTACTTAGTAACTTGGGGATTTTAGCCTAGTGTGATTTAGAATCGGCCATCATTATCAAGAACCCTTCTTGACAAAGCCTAGTTCAGAACCGTACTAGCACAGATTCGAACCCATGCAGCAGTGTTTCAAACCTAGTGACTTTTTGAGTTCGAATCTGCCCTATATAACTCCTGTGGACCGAATGCGGCAATTGCTGTGTTACTTCTGCGCCAATTTTGAGAACTGTAACTAAATTTATGACTCATGCAAAGAAATAGCAATTCTTTGTTTCTCAAATTCAGAATTTCAAAATTCGTTAAAACTTAAACTTTATTTGCTTCCTTCACTTCTTGCTATAACAAACTTTTTTTGTTTTCTTCAATACTGATTTTATACTTGTAATTTCTTCATAAACACCATCAAAGACTATGAAGAAAGATGCGCACAACTAAGTGACAATAACATTCATTCAATTAAAAGGAAGTCAAAAATTGAAGTACCTTTTTGCTTTTTTGTCCTCAACTTCTGAATTAAGAATATGCAAGTCCAATTTAAAAAAGAGTGCTCCATAATCTTTGACGCATACATTCAAAAAAGTATACAAGACAGTAAGAGATGTGTTATATGCACTTTGTCATGCTCTAAAATTAACCAAAAAATTTGTTAGTCTACAGATACATCATAGTAATCTACAATTGATCATTTTGCATCAACTACTGCTAATAATACGATAGCAAAGCAGGACTTGTAGAAAAAAACCCACATTATACTCACCGACATCATCATACTACTATCCGTATCATACTGCATACTCAAATCTTGCTCTTTCTTCACGAGCTCTGTAATGTCCTCCAATCTTGTAGGCGTACCGGGAAGATTCTTTAACGGGCCCGATCTCTTTTCGAGATCCTCCAGCGCCTTCTTGAAAGGCGTCGGAGTACGAGGTATCTCATCTAATAAGGAACTTCTATCCGATTTGTGCGGCGTCGTCACTTCCGAAGTTGACGGTTTCGAGTCCATTTTGTCTGGATGCGATAGACCATTCGGCGTACTCAACGGGCTATAACTCCGCTCCTAAAACAAACAAAAAACGTAGCGCGCCAGCGTGAAAATCGCCTCTTCGCGTACCCCTCCGTTATCAACTTTGGCGGGAGTCGTGTGCTGTTTAACGGGCGTCGACGCTAACGTAACGTCGAAGGACAGGTTTGGACTGTTGAGAAATTGCGACGGACTAAATGGAAGTTGTTTAATAGGCGTCGATCCATTTTTAATGGGCGACGTGCAGAGCGTTTTGTATTTGTCGATTAGTATGTGAACATCCTGAAAATGTCGATTACTTAGCGCATTTCAATGTCAAGCACTTACTTCGTTATTTGCGGAAATGAGTTCAGGAAGACCGTAATCTGAAGAGGTATCGTGACTATTCGTTCTTCGCCTACACCTCGAATTTCGCCTTAAAATTGAGGGTGTTGTCGCTCGTGTGGGCATACTTGAAGGTACAGGTACTATAGTATTTTCAGTTTGATAATTAGAAGGCACCAAACCTGGAAATGTCAAAATTGTTAACAATTCTATGGTGACCATCTCTGTCGGTACAAAAACTCAAGTTTGAAGCTTAATAAAAACATGATACAAGCACATACTAGCACCGGTATCGCTCGCCCACCTGCGCATGCGTCCTTCTGCCCTTTTATGTCAGAGAGTATTGCGTACTAAATTTGGTTCCAATCGGTTCAGCCGTTTAGCCAGAAATAAGAATACAAACAGACCAATGGACATCATTGACATTTTGTATGATTCGGAGACTTGATGCTTCAAAACGTGTATTTCCGTCAAAAAAATGGGGGGGGGGGCATTTATTACCCCCAATGACCTCCCTTACTAACAAGCAGGTGGTAAAAAAGTCTCTAATGGGCGGGCCATCACTAGACTTCAGCGCTATTTGATGAAGCAGATCAGTAGCTTTTAGGCTAGGTGACGCAAGAATAACTCGATTATAAATATCTATAATACTGAAAGGAGATATGGCACTCCGTTACAGAGATTTGGATCGATTTGTAAAAGGAGCCATTTAAAGGAAATTGATAACTTATCAACTTCAGGAATGGCTTTCAGCATTCTAACTAAGCAATGCAAAAATAACAAGATAGTACAAATATAATGCTGAAAACCTGAAAGTTTTACAATATTGATTTGGTGAGATCTCGATCGATTTACAAAAAGCTTAAAAAGCTCCCAAACAACTGACAGCAACAATATGCTCTTTTTTTAAAATCAAAAATTCACTCTGTCAAATAACATACACTGTCCATTTTTCGAGTGCCACTATGGTTATCGGTTATCTTAAAAGATAGAAATTTGGATAAATGAGGACAAAGTTGCGAATTTCCCTGCTGAATAAATTATAATCTGAAAAGAAATTTAAAATATCTTCAATAGTTTTGAAAATATCGCAAAAAAACGAAAATTTCTGATTTTCGTTTTTAAGTTTTTCATGGTAAATTAATCGTACCAGACATTACTAATTAACACATTATTCAGACACTTTTTAATGGAGATTTCGAGTATGGCATCCCCTTTTTCATAACTTTTAAGATGACAGTGGCAACTTTAGCTTTCCTTGTGGTCGCCATTTTGAATTTTGACATTTTGAGATTCGTCGTTTTTTCTCTAACAGCGATATATCACACATGGTGGTTCGCAGTATCACATTTTTCCTAAAATTGCAATTTTCATTTTTGCAAAGTGTGCTTTGTAAAATCAATACGTTCTTTTGTTGTGAACAAAAGGTTGACTTATTTCAAGTAATGCCGTTTTGTTTTCGCAAAGCACTCTTCCCAAAAAATTGTATGTTTAGAAAAAATGTGAATGAATCCACCATGTGTGATATATCGTCGTAAAGAGAAAAAAAGACGTAATCTCAAAACGTCAAGTTACAGCCATGTTGGTTGAATATGTGCCTGTCGTTTTTGATTGTTATTGTCTCTGGTCAACCTTTCATGACATTAAACGAACTTTTCCAATCGCGCCAATATACATTCTTGAATTGTCAGTGACAATAACTTCTCTGTTATTTAACGGTGACACGATTTGCAAGCATTTACGTCTCATTTTAATCGAGCCGGACACCCCAGAGTCAAAAAACCATTCATCTCATCTTAATGGTTCGCGTGCAATAAATGATGAAAGCAAAGTTTTCTCTATAGAGTTCTTTAGCAATTTACAGTCTCTAGAAAAATGACCAAATTCATTGCAGTTGTAGCATCTTACCTTGGGTCTCCTTTTTGAACCTGTTTTTGTTTCCGTTTTAGCAGTCAATGCACCTTCAGATTCGTTTTCTGCCGGTCCAATACACTCATCATTGAATAACTAGCAGAGTAAATAATTGCATCGATATATAAAAAGCTTAAAAGACGCCCGAACAGCCGACCGCTAGTAAAACAATAAGCTCCTTTTTGAGAATCAAAAATGTGTTAAAAATAACTATTTTGGCAGTTCGATCATTTGCGGCTGTCGCTGCGCAAAGGAGTTGATTAGGTTGTATTGTGCTGTCCTTAATACAGATACATCCGAAAGAACGCACCCGTGACTCACTAATCGCAAATAAGTCAAGGATCACTGATAAAAACTCCATTGAATTAAATTTGTTTTACAAAAAAAAGATTTTTGGCCTTTATTTTTAAGGGAGCGGGTTTAGCCAAGGTGCTCTATCTACCTAACCCACATTTAAAAATGAACTTTCATTTGATACGCTCATTCAAATCTGAGCAATAGCAATTTTTATTAAGCCCATTAAAACCAACTTACGTGTCTTTATATAATGTTGCGTCAGATCGGACCCCTTTAGCGGACTAATTCCCGATCCGATCTCTAATCCTAAATCATCATTGAGATGAATAAGCTTTACAGGACTCGCTTGTTTCCCATACATGTCCGAGTGTAGATACTGGAATGACGGTATTTGGTTTGTATTTGGTTCGTGAGGTGGTGACGGTTGCAGTCTTTCGTAGGGATTAACCATGAAAGAGGTAGGCGTAGGAACGGGCGTCAGCGGACTAGGACTCGGCGTCGCACCGTTCGCCGATAAGCCGCCTCCGCTTGATTGGCTGCTGGTTTGATCGTAAAATTCCACACCATACTCCTATTAAATTAAGTGTTAGATGGTTTAGCTTCTGGTCGGAATACGTACATCTCCGAACGAGACGGGTATGCTCTCCTGCCTCAAGCAATGGTTATCCAATGAGGTATCCACGTGTGATGTGAGCTTTGGCCTACTTTCGATGCTACGGGTGAGGTTTTTACGGTTGCGACTACGACGAGTTTCGCCCTCGGGAATACGACCGTCTGCGTCGTACTTTCGCCGCATGGTCGAGTTCCAATGATTTTTGATGGCATTGTCCGTCCTACATCGATTGCTTTAACGCAAAAATTAATCTAAGAAAAAGTTACCTTCCGGGGAGAAGTTTTGCAATTTTTGCCCACTGGTTACCCCACTCTTTGTGTGCTTGGTAGATTATGTGATCTTCAACCTCCGTCCAGGCGGTTTTCTTGATGTTGGGATTAAGGTGGTTGTGCCATCGCTCGCGGCATTGTTTACCTATTCGTCCTTTTAGGTGTCGCGCAATTAACGTCCACTTCTTTGGCCCATATTTTTTTACCAATTCAATAACCTTCTCGTCCTCCTGAAACACAATACGGAAATTCCAATGTATGAACAAAATGAGACATTAAAACTAAAGCAGAACATAACAATTTAATGTAATGGAGCACGAGTAGTTTTCCTCTGTTGAATGATAACCAAAGTCGCTAAGACTGTGGAGAATTAGGGGGAATTACAAATCGATTTGTGCACAGTTTGAACGTCCTTCGTCCACACCCATTAATGATAAACTTTTCAATGATATGTAACGGAGCACCCGTTTTCGTACAAGAATTATACCAGTTTTAATGAACGCACCATACATTGCTAGAAGCCACCAACATCATTGACCACTCTGTACTTCGACGAATTCGGACTCTTTTTATTTATTTTATTTATATCTAATTTGCTGCAAGTTTTGATGACTATGCTTAAGCAGTCCCTTTCTGAAACAGTTCTTACGGAAAGTTGATCTCGCAATGATTTGACGATACATGACTATTTTTTAAATTTAAATTAGTTCCAGTATCAATTATAAATATATGAAAACCGCTTTAAATTAAACTTGCGATACGCGAATTAATTTACATAAATTCAGTACACGAACATAAGGTAGCAAATGGGGCATCTCCCAAAAGAGTTTTCCCGCGCTTTATGGGAACGGACCATTGTCAAAATTAATTCGTGGGTCACTCCCGCGCGTCTAAAGTTAAACATCTGTTATTTTCCGCAACATTTAATTGAAGACCATATGCTGGAAAGTAAAGTCAGTTGTAACTCTGCCCTACGCTTTACAATAACCGTAAATCGAAGAGGTGTTTCAATCCCCTTTTCGCATAATCGTGCGATTTTCATATTGACACGGAGGGTCGCTCTAACGTCAAGGAACCCGTTTTGGTCAGCTCAACAAATAACAGCGACCGTTGGAGAGTAAATGCTGCACGTGCGAATCTTATAGCACGTAGGAGCTCTCTGTAAAGAGTATTAAATTAGGTATTGGCCGCCGCAGTTTGAAAGATATCGAAAATAAAAAATTGACGTGCTGACCCTCACTGTCCAACTAACAAAGAGTTAGGAACTGGTTGGATGCTGTAAGAAAGGGGGTTGGAGATGAAAAATATTCGTGTTCGGCTTGACCGTGACCGTAACTTGAATTAAGGAATGGAATGAGGAGTGTCTACCTGTAAAAAGGGCCACGATTACATGACATAATTTCTAATGGCATTAAAAACTATCCTATCGCGCCCTTGAGAGACGTCATCGATGCGTAAAATTCTTCAAATATATGTCGGTACGGCAGATGTTCGATAATTACAACCGGGAAGGTTTCCCGTCCATGCAAGGAAAAAGAAAAGCGGAAACGTTGGTTGTGTTTTGTAACATTATTATTAAGATATGCATTGTTGATGTCATGTTAAGTTCAAGTTCATTACCATACCTATTAAACACCAAGAAGCAGGTGGCAGGTTAATTATCCCAGGTTTTTTTTGCAAATAATTCTTGGGGTTTCGAAAATGTTCAAGGCCAATTTCCCAACAATTAGAATTTAGCAGACGATGTTATAATTCCAATTCCTTTATCGATAGAGGTCTCTAGCCCAGTGAAATTTGTTCGCGTTGACTCAATGAGTAAAACTAAAATGTAAATGTCATTATTATATCCCCGCGGACATTTCAGCAGGAAATAGCCTATTAAACACTGAGAACAGGTGAAGTCATACTAGAAGACATTTCATTCCCATCACGATGTGCCGCAATTACAGGAAACTGAATTAAAAGCTACAAGTTGTTTTACTTAAGTTCATTTGAACACTTCACCCCTATTTGTACCATGTTTAATGTTTCAGGTGCATACTAAATGTGGATAGACAAAACAAAGATAGCATCGAGTCTGTGGGAAAGGATTATATTTGGTTTCAAAAAATATAATTGTCAAAAAACCCATTTCACTGAAATTTTAACACAGGGTTATACAACATACACTATACAGAATGTGTGATACAGGGGATGAAAAGCAAATCACGCAATGGGATATGCGTATGCCACCAAAAGTGTAGTCCACGGAGAGAACATTCCTGTCACCGGGACATAGAGCAACCCCCCCCCCCCTCCATTTCTCAGCTATTTCCTGTACCGATCTCTCGGAAACGACGTATTTCGAATCTGAATCCAGTACAAAACTGTGACGCCACAGCAATTATCAGTTATCAAGTTGTCCATGAAAGTATATTATTGGGTATCCTATGCCGACAGAACTAACGACCTCTTTCTCTCTCACACTCCTTCGGTCCATTATTTTTGCCGCTTCACCTCGCTACCTTAAAAACTGATGAAGATTTCTTTGGCCTTCTTTAGAATGATAAAAGTGCACGAAATTACGAAAGTGGCAGGTGCAGTACAGAAAGCTGCTAGGGAGTATTTTTTCTAGGAGATATTCCATACCCCTCAAACCACCGGTGCTACCTTCTGCCTCAAAAAAATTTATACCATCAAACTTTTCAGGGCCGTATCTGGACAATGGGGGGGGGGGGGTTAAACCATGGAATTTGATTTTGATAATAAATTAGGGATTTAAAAAAAACTGTCATTTTTTAATAGGTGTATGTGTATTATATGAAAATATAAAGAAAAAACAAACAATTTAAAATTTTACAAATAGTAATCATAGTAGCAATTGAATATTTCTTTGCTTTTCCCTCGCAAAACGATTTACCACCTCCTCGGTATCAATTTTAATATTTCTGTGAATGCTTAACAGAGCAAGTCCTGTTAGTCGCTCTTGGCCAGTAGAATTGCGCAAATAGTCTTTCAAACGTCTTAGCGAGGAAAAGGATCGTTCTGAGGAGGCAGTAGATACGGGTAATGTGGCCAGAATTTGCAACAGAATATGAATATTGGGGAAAAATGATCGATTACATGCTGATAATGCATCAAGAGCGTTTTTAGGCCTTTCTGCATGAGACACAGCAATCCATTTTTGTTTCCACAACTGTAATTCTGCAGATACTATATCTAGATCCTCCAAAAATTCCTCGTATAACATCAAGTCTTCTATTTTTGCTGTGTGTGTATCGCACATAGTTGGCAATGGAATGAAAAGATGATTTTGCAGTTTAGAATTTTCTTTTTTGAGTAGTAAAGCGATTCAAATACTATTTCAATTTTTTATATTTATTTTATTTTACTTACGTTATAAGAATTTATTTTCGGGGGGGGGGGGGGGGGGGGGGGGGGGGGGGGGTGAACCCCCTTTAGATACGGCCCTGAAACTTTTGCACCGCGGCTCCTGGGAGGAGTACGGCATACTCCTCAAGAACGTCCTTTTTTTTCAGAAACTATCTACAGAATTTTTAAGGCTAAACGCTTTACGCGTAGTATCGGGGGGTCTTATATATCCCAGGATATCAGGGTTTGGGAAAACCCGTTTTTTTTTAAAACCACAACCCAGTGGGTTTTTTTGGGCTTTTTCGTGTAAAAGTGGGTAATGGTACTTTTTCGATCGGAATTAAACAATTCGACAATATGAAAAAAATGGCGCCGCAATATTGTGGTTGTGTTGGGGTGGTTCACTTTTACATTTTACTATGGGTAAGAATCAGAATATAAGTTTTGAACTGTTTTGAATTATTAACTACTAAACGAACTCAAATGGAAGTACCTATGTTTTATTTTTGTATTTTAAAAATTAAAAATTATTCGTGTATAATTTGAAATATGCTTTTGCCATATAAATTTATTTCAAACCAGCCCAAGTAAAAAAATTATCAAACTCCTCGTGTCAAACTCCTCGTGTGAGATGGAAGGGATCTTGTCGAAGGATACCACATTCCCTTTGACGGTACCCAGTTCCGACGTCCCGTTCACCCGCAATTCGCGTTTGAAGAAGTTGAAGTTCTTCTACGCGCCCACATTTGCTGCCAGCCAGCCGACCAGCCAGCCAGCCAGCCAGCCAAAGTGAGATTAAAAGCTACTTTTTACAAATAAATTTGCAAAAATGCGCTAAAAACTTGTTAAGTAATTATTTCAAAATGAAAAAACCCGGGTTTTTTTCCAAGTTGGCCCAAACCGAAAAAACTCAGTGGATTTTTTCGGGTTGGGTCCATTCAGGCGAACTCTGCGAGGATGTATAAGACGATTCGATTACATTTCACGAAGGCTGCCATGAAAGTGGTAGGTATAATACAGAAAAGATTATTGAATCCTTTTTTCTAAAGAGTAGTTTTTTTCTAATTCCATACCCGTTTTTTTTTTCGAATTTTCCTTTCCCGTCTTAAAGTATGCTTTTTATTTTAATTGGAATATTTTTGCACCGAAAGTTAATAGCTGTTCCCCCCGTGAAAAAAACAAGTTTGAAAAGTTCTCCCTCCATAACTTTTTGTTCCTAAAATGCGTAGACAGGAATTGGTCAGTTTTCAACACTTTACGAAATTAAAAATGAAAATATGCTAATAATAATAACTTAAGTAGAACTGTTAAAAGATCTCCTAGGAGTTACTTACCCTCAAAGAAGAGCCGACATTTCTACCTCTAAATCCAGACAAACTAAATACAGTTAAATACCTACCTCAACATAACGGATTTTGAAATTTGAAAAAAGACAATCTTTATTATAATTTAACCATAATTACATGCGCAATTCTATCTTTTGCGTGCAGATTTTCTCGGAAAAATTAAAGAGGGCACGTTAATAAAAGCAATTTTTCAATACAATTTTGTAGAGAAATTAATAATTGTCTTTAAATTTGATGTGGGAACAATCCCTATTCTTTGTATTAAAAAAATTGTTGAAGGTTTTTGCAAACACCAAAACTTTAGCTGATGCCGACGCGCGCGCGCCGCGTCTATTTAAATGAACCAATGAGCGTACAGGGCACCTTTCGACCAACGCAATCAGCTGACGCTTAGGCGTAATCAATCGTTTTTAATAAATTTATAATATTCGCGGTCCTTTCGGATTTGGTACTTCACCTTAGTTATTTTTACATGACAACTATCATTTGCGCATGCCTGAAACCTGATATTTATTCACATAATTGCAAATTCTTAATTACCTACGTATACGTTTTTAATTTGTAAGGGCATCTACCATACTTGTACATATATAGATTTGTCAACCATACTCAGTTTGTAGAAGGCGCTAATTAATTGTTGCACGTTTCGGTATTGACTAACTCCCACTACAATAAAATAATGTTAATCGCTCTGTATGGGTGGTAAATAATTTTCCTCGGCTTCGTTATGCTTGATGAATTACGAAATGTGGTTTTCCTTAGAGTCACCCACCGGAGGACAACAGGACGTCCACATCAACACGCAAATCATACACGTAACACGCAAAAGGAAATAGGTAATGGTAGATACAGACGGAAGACCTGTCCATCACCATCATCGGAGGTAGTAAATGATAGAAGGGCAACGTCCTATACAAAGTAAGCAACTCTGTGGGAACCGGAACGTCAAGAAAGGGTGCCTCGCTTCTTCGCTCGTACGGGGTATACCATCCATCCACGCATGGTAGAACTCTCGAAGGGTGAGAACAAAGGACTGACAGACTTTACAAAGCCACTATAAATTATTCTACGCAATAAAGGGCGGGGTTAAAGATTAAAATAGTTACATGTGTGTGACAAGTTTATAAGCACAACCATTGCCAGTACCTATCTATACCAACCTCTTTTGTCCATGGACCTTTGACTAGTTCAGGATTAACTACTTTGGTCCATCGTTGCTGACATTGCACATCCGACCGGTCAGAGAAATGCTGCGCAATTATATCCCACCGTTCCTGATACTCTTCTACCAGTTGCTTCAATCTGGTATCCTGAAACAGAAAAAAAAATAAAACCAGTTCGTCGATTACATAAAAACAGCAACAAAAGAGAAACTCGATAACTTTCTGGTTAAAAAAACAAAAACCACCTGACGTGATCACCAAAGACAGGTTAATTTAGATCGGGGGTGGCTTTGATTGTAAATATCGAATGTCGCGCCAGCTGTAAATCAAAGCCATTTGGTTTGAAACGGGAGATTTCAACGCACACTTGATCCCGCAAAAAATGCGCTAATGAAGTTTGTCGGATAAAATTTCTTCTTCGGGCGAGTATTTGGTGAAATTGTCGTAATTGATTCACCGCCGACAGGAAAAACTAGTTCGCCCGTCAGAACAACAAAAAAAAGTCCAATTGTAGCGGATTGGATTTTGTTAATGCAGGTAAAATGTAAGGGTTGGTTTTGCGCGTCAGTGACTATGAATCCGTTATAATTTGGATTTCTTTGAGTTACTTTTACGGTAAAGCTATTAACTAAAAGTTAAGTTTAATAAATCCAACAAAAAAGCCGCCTATATCTTAATTCAAAAAGACGAATTTAATGCCCTATTCAAAAATTAAATGTCCGAATAATTCAAATGTTCCTTTTTAAATTAATTCTTCCATTCAGACGAATGATGATTACCATACGCTAGAGACAATCAAAAGCTTAGAATTTATAATTAAATGTTAATTAAATTCACACACAAATTAACCCCTCATTTAGTTCTGCATTATCCGTCATACCAAAAGTTAAAACGATTAGTAAACATTTTTCATTAGTGTCATGGTCGTGTAGATTCGACTGGGGAAAAAGGTGAAACAATTTCAGAAAAGTTTAAAGAGGCATTAGGTACAAAAAATTAGCTTTTCAAATCTTTAATTTTATTTCAGTGTCGTCATGGTCGTTGGGTGGGAAAATGTGACGAATGCTTAGAAAAATTTATGGGTAGGTACATATCAAAAATCTTTTTCATTTATAATTTCATATCAGTAAAAGAGGAATTTTGCAAAACTCAAGTGCCTAAAAATGTTTCAATTTTGAAAATTTTGAAAAATTGAAGAATTACAGTACAAACAATCGTCGAGCTTTCATACCAAAAAAAGTGGTTTTCCAGTGTTATGGTCGTGGGCTTCGTTTTTTGGTTTAAAAAAAGAAGAAAATAGTCAAAAAATCATAATACCCTCGTATGGTCCTTTTCGAAGACATCATATACAGGGTGTCTTAAATTGAGTACTTTACATATGCCTGGCGGTTTCGAAATTTTTTTTAATTCCACTTCCGAAACTTTGTGAGAAGTCTGAGGTCTTTCCAGAAACCCTCCTTGGAATCGTTTCTTTGAAACCTTAAGACAACATTTTCATAGAAATGTTACTAGAAGTCGGGAAGTCGCAAACCTTCTAGGGAATTTTTTCGAAATCTTCTTGGAGTTGTTAAAAAACATTTTCCAGATCCTAGAAATCTTCATTTTTAAAAGCTTGTTACACACAATTAGAAACATTTTTTGGATCTAAAATACACTACAGAGAAAATGTTCTTGAACGCCTAACACAAATCTTAAAACTCAAAACAAAGGGGCGTCATCGCAATGTTTGGTAAAAACTATTGGAGCAGTTGAGATTAACTACTTATCTTTTGCCAGACAGAACTTAAACTTTGTACTTGTTTTGGGTGATAAACTAAAAATCGAATTCGCAGTAGGCGGTTGTAAATCGCCTTGCACTAAATGCAAGACAAAACGAAACAGATCAATAAATGTTACAGGAAGCTGCAATGAGAATTTACGAGAAGAACAAAGGATATATTTGAAATTCCACTGGTTCTGTGTGGTTGTTAAATAATTCATCATGTTTAAGAACGTCCCTGTATACATCAATACCGCCTATGTACTTTAAGTTCTGCAAATGGATTCGGGTATATGTTGTCTGTTAACGAGATTGCAGTAATTGCAGCAAAGTACTTGCGCATTTAACGATTTTTTATCATAAACACACAATTTTAAGAAGGGGACAGTGTAACGTACGTAGGACTGCCGACGCGCGAACATTCTCTTTTTTCTGTAATTAAATATTACGTACCCTTATGTAGCGTTAGTGAAACAGCACTGTGAAAAATAAGGGATGAAAAAAAATTGGTGGCGACATTATCCTCATTGCGAAAAGTGTGCATACACTACGAAATTCTATTTACTCAATCGCTAAAGCAATAACATCCCCAAAATGGGCACGATAATATCATCTCTAAAACACCCACGTTCTGTGTTATAGCTCTACCGTAATTACAAATACAAAAAAGGTTTAATTACTCACCTCGTCCTTACTCCACCGGCCTTTATTAATTTGTTTTTTCGTCCTAATTTGTACATCATCGGCCGTTTCGGAGTCATCGGAATCCTCATTTCCACTACTTTCCGAGAGCGGTTCATGTTTGAGTCTGAAAACAAGAAACCATAGATAATTGCTCGTTTTTTTGTCATTCCCAAAAACCTTTTATGTTTTTCAAATGGGAATGCGTACGTCGATAACTTCCCACGAATAAAATTTTTTTTGTCATTCTCGCTGGTTGATTTTACGTAATCTTGGAATTAGGGGTTAGAGCGCGCAAACGAGCGACAATAAAGCGACGTGAAAAGGAATGACCAGGTGCGGCGGAAGAAGGAAGTAAAAGTGGGCACCCTAATCATTCGGATCGACACGTGACAGTTTTTAGAAATATAGGTTACAAATTTTCGCAATCGCGCGAGGAATTATGTAAACGAACCTTTTGACAAGGCATCCGTATATTATTTGCATTGTGAATCCTTGTAGATCGCCCTACTTTAAAAGAATAGAAAATTGGGACATTCCCATACTTGGAAGCTTATACTGCTCTAGCTTATGCATGGGAAAAAATGGAGAAGGGTGCCTATTTCAAGGGTGAAATTTGTATAGAAAGAAGGGTGCAGTTTAAACTAAGCGGAGTTCTCTATTATTAGAGGTCATCTGATTGTTTTACTGCTAGTTTTGCTAGCTAAATAAAATTTATTTGTTGGCGCAACAATTTTTTTTATTTATACTCTTACAGATTGTGTTACAAGAGCCAATTTTTAGATCGCAAAGTCTCAAATTTCGTAGGTATTCACACGGTATAATTTCACAAATAATTGACAAGTGGCATTTTACCCACTTTAGTTCCAATAAAAAGCACTTTTAAAAACAGAGGGGCGGACAAAGCGTCCACAATATTAGTATTTTTTATTTTTAATCTGGAGATTGTGGTCAGAAAAGAAAATGGCGAGATATCTGTTCATAATCGTTTTCGCTTACACAGAGTCAACAAATAATTTCCCTCCGAAACAAATTGGGCAATTAAATTCAAAACAAAAACGACATTCAAATTTCATACCCCAAAGACGCAATTAATTTGAAATCTAAAAATCTTCCACTTTTTAATCTTGTAAAATTGTAATGTTCTAATCGATTTCGACATTTACCTTGGATTTATCCTCGGATTTATCTATACCTGCTCTGGAATTTTGGAATTACAGAGCCTGGCCATTTTGTCTTCTAAAAATTGCAGATTTAATTTTTTTTGAATTTTCATTTTTGAAATGAAGCAAACACCTTGTATATTTTAATCTAAAAAGAAAGCGTGTTAATTCCCTTTTGAAAAAATATGTCTAACACAAAAAATCAATAATATTAATTCAAAACAATTCAAAACAGATTTAAAAAAATTAAAAATCTTTTCCTCGGATTTATCTATACCTGCTCTGGAATTTTGGAATTACAGAGCCTGGCCATTTTGTCTTCTAAAAATTGCAGATTTAATTTTTTTTGAATTTTCATTTTTGAAATGAAGCAAACACCTTGTATATTTTAATCTAAAAAGAAAGCGTGTTAATTCCCTTTTGAAAAAATATGTCTAACACAAAAAATCAATAATATTAATTCAAAACAATTCAAAACAAAACAGATTTAAAAAAATTAAAAATCTTTTCGAATTTTTTGTAATCATGCGAAACTTTTTTTAATATTTTTAATTTTAAACTTCGAAATCTTCGAAATATAACATAATAATTCAACATTCATTTTAAAAAAAAATGCAAAAAAAAATTTTTAATTAAAAAATCTTTGAATTTTTAAACATTTGAACCGTTTTTAACCTTTTCTTAAACTTTTTGAATTTTGGTTAGGTTTTTTCTATCACTTCGTTTGAATATCAATACTGGTGTTGAAAAGAGAATTAATCTGCTGTCTTTAAATAAAACTATACAGGACGTTTCATTAAAGAAAAATAGGTTAGGTCCGATCACTTTCTTACCTGACCTCGTATACGTATTTTGAACAATCATCCACGTTTAATGTTTAGTTTGAGTTCAAGCAAATATTTTCCATAAATTCTCGAGAACTTTACGAGAGCATTCGTAGGAAATTTCCAGTTTATACTAGTTTTTAATCGGTCAACCCCCGATTTCATGAAATTACGCGAACGTTAGCAAAATTTTAAGTTCCGGCATCATGCAATTATCTGCATTTTCGTGAATGTTTTAGATTTGTATGAAGTTTTTGTTCAGTAAATTGTTCTGGTCAGATGGCCCGTGTTTGGTATAGTTGTAAAAAACGTGTGCCTTGTTTAACATTTGCTGTCAATCTGATTTTTAAGCATACTTTTTGAATTTCTGAGTTTCTTTCGAGTAGATTTCCGTTTTCCTGTCCCTTCCGTCGTTTTCCACATTGAAAGGAATGCGGTAGTTTTTTCCTATAAAGGCCCGTATTCATATAGTGAATTGTAAATGAAGATCGAGCGGAGACCACAGACTTTAATCACAAAAGTCTATGGACCCAGAAAAACCTCTACAACGACTGGAGGGTAGTCCGCATACACGCTAATTTTTCCAAATCTAATTCCACCACACAATTGCTCCATAATAAACCAGGGGTTGTACTGCGATTGGCAAATGACATCTGTGTGGTAGAAAGTTGGGCTACATAGCCGGGAGGTCGGGTGTTCGAACCTGGGTTGAGGTGAATTTTTTCATCTGTGGCAGAGATGGGAATTACCTTAGCCCAGTTTCGAGCATTCTGCCGGATACAATTCTGCAGGGACACCTCTAAAAAGCATTATGCGGATCACTCTGTAATTGGGCCAAAGCCTGTTGAGGGCCCAGAACAAGAGAGAAATAAATAAATAAAGAAAATTACACAATTGCAATTTGCGAATAAGGTCGACTACGCCAGGTGATGTACGCGAAGTACTTCCAATAGCAGTTGAAAGTTGACCGAACGCAATATTTTTAGACGCTCGGGTGAAACTTCTTCAAAGGGCAGTTATTTATACATCGGATCTATAATTAACCAAGAATGGTAACAATAATTTCCTTTCGACCTGCGATACACAATTTCTTCTCACCCGATTATTTTAGGGGAGGTATTTGTCTAACCGGAAACGGGAACATCGCGACAGGAAATGTGTTCTTAATAATGCATTCGATGCATATCGACGTTATTATTGCGCAATAAGATTGTTACAAGAATGGAATCGAAGCCGAGTACCGCTAATCTCATACGAACTTACGGGCAATAATTAAATTCGCCTACCTGAATCGCCCGATCCATTATTAAAGAAAATTAATGTACGAAAATTACGTACCGCATGCAATGACATCTATAATAAGAAAAACTGGAAAAAACGGTAGCCAACTGTTGCTACGAAGATTTTTTCCTTAAACGCAAACTTCACATATGAACACCTAGCACGTGGTACGACATATGCGTGTATGAATGCACCTGCTTTTAAGGGGGTCGTGGGTGCGGGTCGGCAAGACGCTACTCCCTGGACATTGAACTATTCCACCTCAGCTATACAGTTATCTTTAGTCAGACGACCTAAGTTAAGCTTAAGGGTGGGATTATAATACACCTGATTGAAAACGGGCTTCTTTCATCTAAATGATTAATAATTCAATAGTGCATTAATCCAGAATTGATTGCGCGTACATTTCCGCATCGCAAGCTAATAGGAAGCAAAGATAATACTAATTGCCTTTTCTCACTTGGGTACTTCCTAATTTTATCCAATTCGATTAATTCGGATCATCTTGTACCCTCTCCTATGATTAATGATTATGATGACGATCAGACTTCTTGCACAATTTGTAATGTTCCCAAAATCGTCAGTAGAAAAGAAATTCTGCCGTCAATCTCAAGAGGCAAAAAGAGTGAATGATTTTGCACAATTTCCGCTTCTAATTAACATCATCGAAACTTCACGCTTAATACATGACAGGTGATTAACAATGGGTTAAGATGAGGAAGGCCACTTCTTTCTGTTTTTGTCATGTTCATGTCTAAGAAAAAAAAGATTGATTATTGCTGGAGAACTGCACAGGATTATCTAACATTCTCTGGACATTTTGGAAAATTCAAATTTGTAGACTCTCTACGGAAGAATATACAGGGTGTTTTTTTAGGAGCTTTAGTTAAACGTTTCTGGGAAAGTAAAATACGTAGGTTTTTGAAAATTTATACTTAGGAGTTACTCTGAAGGCCGAATCTATGTAAAATATTTTCAAAATGTCCGCACTTTCAAAATGTCCGCACTTCCGGAAACACCGGAAGTAGATAGTAATTCCGTTATTTTAAATGGCAACCCCTATTTTTTATTGCATTTTTGGATTCTACGTGAAATTTCATTTCTTTTGATACCCATATGTCGATATCTACCATTTATGGTTTTAAGTTATTTTGACTAAGAAAAAAAATGGCGGATGCAGATGGTACCTTGATAATTGATTACTTGAAAAAGGTTATAGTCATGGCAACCCATTATCAGTGCATAGAGAATGAATAGGGCTTTCTTTTAGTGCACTTAAAAAAAGTTAAGTTGCGTACGACCGCCCCTATGGATATCCAACTTTATGAAACTTCAAAAACTAAAAACTCAGTTTTTTTAAATGGAATGACCATGTTCTTACTACTCCATGAGATAGAGAATCGAAATGGGCATATTTTGACAATACATGTTCCTATAGCTATCTTTAACAGTTTCTGACTTATTCCCATTTTATTGAATTAACACTATTTTTTTAGGATTTTCTTTTTTAGTAGTCGGCCATGATTCTATAACAATTGAATTTTTAAACAACTAGTGACCTAAATCCATCACCCACTGTTATATGGTTAACATAAGTTTTTCAAAAATCGAAAAATGCTCGCAGTGGTTTTACCTATTTTGGAATTTAATTGTTATTTATGGTGAAATGGGCAGAATCGCGGCGCGTGCTTCCTTACATTCCATGTGAAAACTGGAACGACGAATTTGTAATGAATTTTGGAATTTTGTACCCCTAGCATACAAAACCGTTGCAGCATAGTGATACAGAAGCTCTACAGAGAATATTGTAGAAAATGAATTGAAATTGCAAATGCAAGAATTAACAAATTAAATATTCC